TAGCTCATAAATTCCCAAAACAACCGTCATTTGTGCGTCACAACCACGCATCTGTCGGACGCCCGTATGACAGAAGGGTTGGGCCACATAGAGTTTGAACGTTTTGTAATTATTGAAATGTTAAAGAATACGAACCCTAAACCTTCTCAAGAATCGGTGACACAGGGTTCGTCGAGATTCAACATTGATGCTGACCTTCATAGTTTTACCGGGCTTGCTAAGCTGAAGGGACCCGGCCAATCCTCTACGCCAGTTGGCACACTGTGGTGTAACTTTGCACTGTTCGTAATCGACCCTCTGACCAGTTAGGTGGAATGCATCGGTATCTTCGCCCCACCTTGCAAATATACTATTCTACCCGACCGCGCCATTGTGGTGTTCCTCAATCTCATATTCGTGGGTATATTATAGGTGCGAATAATTGGTGATTGGCCTCCGCGTCCGTCAAGCTCGCGCAGGAGCAATTCTAAGTCTTTAGGACTCGGTGCGATTCATTCAAGAGTATTCAAAGAGTGTGGTGATGCTCTGAGTGCCCCACCAGTAAACCTCTTCGGATGCTCGTTTCTGGAAGGCGGGTCACCCTCTGGCTGGACACGGGCGGCCGCCGTTCCAGTATGCGAAGGTGGAGACAAACTATCTGTCTGCACCTGTCGACCACTATTCCTGATCCTCTCAGCCGCGAAGGCCATGTAAAGGGCAATAAATGACTCATTTCGTGGTTGCTTAATAATTCTATCTTACACGACTGTCAACATGGTTTTTTTACCTGGAAGGCCATGTAACAACAACTTGTTGGTGGACTGCAGTAGCTGGACTCTCTCTGTTGGGTACAAAAAGCCCATCCACATTGGTTTACTCGACTTTTCTAAGGCCTTTGACAGGGTAAACCATGATATCCTGTGTGAAAAGCCTCACGGACAGTTACTATTTTGACTCAGAGGTTATCTTTATGCCAGGTTGCGGTCAGAGTTGGCTCCTATTTATCAAATCGGTCCCTGATGCTGGGTGTTGTGCTTCAAGTTTCCATTCTGGGTCCACTGCTGCTTCTTACTTTCATCGGTGACCTAACAGGGTCCCTCAATTCCCATTGACTATTACATGCTGACGGCCTGAAGATTCTGAGGACACTACGGGTGCCAACGAATATTTCGATCCCCCAGTACGACCTTGCGAAAATCCTAAATCAAACTGCAGATCCGCTTCCTCTCAACTAGAGGAAGTGCAGGATAATGAGGGTTGACAAATATAAAAGCAGTCCCAGTTCATACTCTCCACGCGAAACAAGTATCTGTTACTCCAACATACAACAAGATTTCGGAGTTAAATTAAAGGATACACTGGGGGCTTCAGTCCACTATCGCCTTGTGGCAACAAGGTTTGCTGAGCCTTGGAGCTTCTTTTGCGAACTTTAGGGAGTCTAATTCATCCCCTTTCACCACAGTGTATAGATTGTATATTTTCCCTCACCTTGAGGAAAATTCGTTCGTGATGTTCCTATACTTGAAGAGGGACATAGGCATCCTAAAACAAGCCCAGAGAAGAGCAGCGGAGGAAGTGATTGGGTCACGGCACGAATCTTACCCAGACCGCTTAGTTGCTCTTGGGCTGCATCCAGTACAATACCGGAGGATCAGAGGGGGCATGATCATGATTCATCACGTTGCCCATAATCCCCTTCATCATAAAAGATACCTCTTAAGCTTTAATGGGGAGCCATACCTTAGGATTCCCCCGTTAAGAATCGAGCATGGGGGAGCACTTGTGGGGATTCGTGCTTGCCCGTCTTCAGTTAGTTTGAAAACTGTGAAACTCCCTCCCCTCAGCAGCCACAGAGCCTGACCCCCGATACTTTTGAAAGGAGGCAACAGTAACTTGAGACCAGATTACTCAGTGGTCGATTATCGCTAGCCTTTCAGGTTTTTTGGAACAGGAAGGCAATTGTGACCATTCCAAACCCGGAACACGCTCAAGTGAGACAGGCGTAAAACCCAAGGGATTACTGATTACCAGGTTCACCAAGCAAACTAGACGAGCTGCGAAAACTAATTAAGGACACTTATGCTGACCTTATCGGTGTTACTGAGGCACGGGTTTCTTCTGGCATGTCGCACCAGGAGCTGGCAGTTGCTAATACCATGCTGTTTGCAATGACAAGAAAGCTGTCAGGGGTGAGCAACAACTTACATCAGCTCCCCTCTCTCAGCCCACCAAATCCATATTAAAGAACTGGAGTGCATCGAAGAGTCCACTTGGGGCACCATAAAGCTGTCCGAGACTATGAATTGCTTGGTGGGAGTCATTTGCAGGAAGCCGTCTGCGGACTCACGGTACGACGAAAGGACGCTAGAGACAATCAGTTGCTTTTTTAAACTGGGGCACGCACGCAAACCAATTTTGGGCGACCTTAACCAACTGGAGGTCAACTTTACAGATCACACGTTTAGCGGGAAAGATGATTCCAATGAAGCCAGATTCTTCCATCTGATCGGGGAGCTAGGGCTTGCGGTGGAAGTGAGACCGGCAATGCGGGTGGGGGAGACTCAAACCCTATCTTGCTTAGATTGCGTCTTCACAAATGAGGAATTCCTGATGGACAACTCATCAATCCTTCCTTCTTTGGGCGGAAGTGACCACACTGTTATCGGCTTCCAGCTTGTCTGGGAAGCCAATCTAACCAGGCCCTTCAATAGACGTCGCTGGAACCCCAGACGACTTAACGCTGCGGCTCTTCTAGTCGCACGGGAACAGACAGATTGGGAGGCTAACCATGTGTGGCAAGATATGAACACCCGCTGGAGATCCATACTTGACAAGATCATGCATGCGATCAGTCAGTCTGTTCCTCTTCCAAGACCGAAGTGTTTCAAGTTACCTAAGGCAACGAGGAACTGCCCTTGTAAACTACTTAGGTTAAAGAGACACCACTGGGTTGAACGCAAAAGGGTTGGCACCAAATATACTTACGGGCAATTCAAACGGACAAGCAACATATGTACGGAGGGATTGACAACCGATCGGCAGCGGCGCCAAGCCGGGCTTACAAACACGTTTGTTTCTAACCCAAAAGTCTCTTCCGCCACCGTGCTTCATTCCGGCGGGCTAAAGCGGGGTCCCTCACCTACTAGGTGAGAACGGCGACACTGAGGCATCTGAGCTCTCGACTGACTAGTACCTGAAAATTCTCTCGTCATCGTCCATCTATTCAGGAGCTAACGAATACCCCAGCAACTAGGCAGGTCTCGCAGTTGTCAACCTAAGCGTTGAGCTAGTACGGCACAAACTGCTACGGCTCACCAAAGACACCTCTCTGGGACCAGACAAAATCTCTCCGGTGGTACTGCGGCAGGCAGCTTCAATCTTCTCTGAGCGTTTAGGTGAGTTATTTAAGAATTCTCTGAGTCATGGGATAGTACCCGACTCTCGGAAGCCGAGCCACATAACGCCAATCTTCAGAAGGAGTCAACAAAGCAATCCAAAGAGATACAAACCGGTGATACCTCTATCCATTCCTTCCAAAGTAATAGAATCGTTAATATACGATGGACTACCTCATAAAGATAAATTTCTTTGCTCCCCGAAAACATGGGTTTCGAAAGGGGTACTCCTGCATTACCAATTCGCTCACTGCGGTAGATAGATGAACCAGCGTTGTTGGCCGTCAAGGACGAATTGATGCTATCTACCTAGAATTTGCTAAGGCGTTGGACTGTGTGAATCGCTACTGCCTTATTGATAAATTGAAATTAATCAGGATTCGACCTCCTCTCATTGACTGGATGTCTTCATATCTACGAGGCCGTTCACTTGAAGTTCGAGTGAGTTTCTCCACTTATGAAGAAACAGAGTGTCCTAGCGGTGTTTCCCAAGGTTCGGTACTAGGACTTCTCCCTTTTCTAATATACATAAACGACTTGCCTCAGCAGGTTTCCTCCGAAGTTCTCCTCTTCACCAGTGACGTGAAACTCTGGAGAGAAATCCAAAGTAAAGAGGACAATGCTTCTCTATAGGAAGACTCAACTCAGCTTCACAAGTGTGCAGTCAACAACGGGCTGACATTTAATCCTGAGAATGCAAGGTGATACACGTAAAGCGCAATGCATCTCATGTATATAGCCTCAACGACATGGAACCTGAAGTGTCACAGACAAGGAAGGAATTGGGAGTCTTAGTCCCTCAAGACTTAAAATCATTTGCCAGTTGTCACAGAAAGGTATTTCGTGGAAACTTGGCGTTAGTAACTCTCAGACGAATTTTCGAACAGTTCGATCGTAGATGCTTCCACAAAATTTTCAACAGCTTCATACGGTTTCACCTGGGGCTTGGGACCATCATCTTTCCCCCTCTCTCCAAAAGGATAAACTAAGCTTGGAACTCATCCAGAAGCTTCCGACAAAATCTGTTCGTGTACATAGGTATAAAACATAAGAAAAACGACTTGTTGCGCTGGATCTGTAGCCTCTGGAATACAGAAGGCTGAGAGGAGGCTTGATAATAACTCACAACATTCTGAGTACGCCTGATCACCCACTCCGTCATTTATTAAATCTTAGCTTTAGCGCTAATCTTAGAGGACACTCACAGAAACTAAGCCTGGAACATAGCAGGTTAGATATCAGGCACAACTTCTATTCTCTAGGAATTTTTAAGCCCCGGAACGCTCCTCCTGAGGACGTGATTTAGGCTACTTCGTCTGAATCCTTTAAACGCCGACTGGTTACCCACTCGACATGTGTCTGGGATCTGCCCAGGACTAATTGAATTGTCACATCCTAATCGCCACTTTTTCCTTTTTCTTTACTTGTACACAGGTTACCAAGCATGAGGAGTAGTGACCCACGGATTTTATAAGCGGAAGCCAGTTAGGTAAAAGCTTCTTCTATTCCTTCAACAACCACTTGAACCATTTGAACCATCTGAATAATTCTACAACACGAAGTTTGAAGTTTGGCCTCAATAGGTCACGGAACTACCGCACGCTTTAAGTCCTGTGCACGCTTTCGATGAACGTTGGACGAATAAGTTGCCTCAGTTATGGGTTCTATAGTTCAGAGGATGTCAGAAGATTATCAGCTCGCAAAGTAACAAATGATCTAGCCTTTGACAGGTTCACTGGTCGTGGGGTGGATGGGGGGCTGCATGATGTAAACTTTGGTAAGATGCCAACTATTCTTACAATCGTTATTCACAGGGATCATTGGATACAGCGAAACCTGTGTTCACTGTGGGATGGATTTTTCGGATTGTCCGGGTCACTGTGGGCATATCGAGTTTGCGAAGCCAGTATTCAACCCCTTCATGTTTGACTTACTCTACAAAGTGAGTGCACTATCTTAAAATTATTGTTTTGAAGGTTGTTAAATCTTTTTGTTTCGGTTGCTTTCGCCTCTACAGTGCTGAATACCTTTCCTCAGCTCTTTACCTTCTTGGAGCACCAGGTAGGTCCGGTCTCATAGGCTGTAATTATTTTCAGTCAGAAAACTTCCTGGTAAACCAAAAGCTTTGGAGATCCAAGAACTAAAGGGATTGTCAGGCAGCGAATTACGTCAGGTTGCTCTAAGAAATCTGGCCACGAGACCTCGTGCTCCTTGCAAGTTGTGTGGCAGTGGTTCATGGGCAATCAGACACATAAACAAACAACAGTTGGTCATGCATCCGATATCAGTTGCTGGCGGCAATCGTTCCAAGGCAAGGATGAAAGAGTGAGCCACATTTACTCGTAGAATTTATTTGCTGTGCAGGTTTCTTTTGGGTAACTAAATGCCATCTTGTTTCCACTACAGTGTCAGTTACAGGGATAATTGGTAACTATTTTTGTGTCCAGTCAGTGGTTCTCGCGGTTTTCTGCTCCAAAGGTGGACTTGTTCATCATAAATGAATTCAGATGACTCATTGTAATGAATTGTCACGGCACTACTGTGCTCCAACAAACCAAAATAACCAACAAAAGCGGAAAGAATGGGAAGAAAGCTTCAAAGAGTGATATGAAAGTGAAAGCATCACCTGAAAATAATAGCAATATAGTCTTTAATCTCAGTTATTATCGTTTTCGCCTCAAGATTTCTCTCACTAGTTGTCATACCCTTAGCCTGTAGTGATTCAGTTTCTGCTGTTCCCAGTGAAAGCCTAGGTTAATTCCTTTTGCAGCTTCAAACTTCATTGACTTCTGTCTAATTTTTATTACCAAATGTCACCGTGGTTTCATAATCTTTTTGTCGTATCTAGAAGTAGAAATAACGAAAATATAGTTTATACTTTATATAAATTATGGTTAAGATTTAACCGAATAGTATCGCAATATTGGGCATTAAGTGGAAGGTTGACATTCGATGTAGTTCATGTGTAAGTCACTGCTTGTTTAAAATAAGATGATTCCAGCGTTTTGCACTATAGTCTCGTCCGAGCTTCAGGTCTGTTCAGCAAGCATAAAGAAACTAGTGAAAGTGTAATATTTTATCTACTTGTAACTTATGCAAAGCTGAACCTGCACTACTCATCACCTCATTTTCTAAAAGACAAGTAACACTGTGACCCTTCCAGAACGGGAAGTGAAACACTGGCAAAAGTTGGGAATAAGGCAGCCAATTCACTCTAAAACTCCCAGACTCAGCAATGTCATCTAAGCATACCTTTATAGTCAGTGATTTATCAGTTCCAAACTCATTCTATTTCTCGGGGTTCCACTAAGCGATTGGCACTGTTTTATCAAACAGTAGATGTATGTCATAATGTAGCACACATCTTTTTGTAGTTTTTGAATGGTACTAATATATTTCCACCAGAAATAACCGACGCTGCAGGCAGACACCTTTGTTATACAAGTCACACCCGAGATAGAAACTTGCAAAATTTTCGAAAAGGTAACGAGAAATCTCTACTTTCAGGTTTTCCTTTGGGTCACCTTCGGAAAAACTTCGAGCTATTTATAAGCGTTTAAGTACCATCCATTTTTCAGTCAACCATTTATTACTAAACTTTGATTTTAGCCTATCGAATCGAATCAAAATCCACTCATCAACCTTGTGCACGTTTGTGTAGTAGGCAATAAGCTACATGCATTGTGAGAGCTAGTAATAATACTTGGCTGCCTAAACCTCAGTAGGTGGAGGGGTTTTCGAACCAGTGACCCACTGGTTGAAAGTTAACTACCTAAACCAATGAGCCGCTGTGCATTTTAGCTTATATGTTGATGTAAATGAAATATGTTTAATAAAGCATATATTTTCATCCTTGCCTCCAAAAATACTACTGTCTCATGTGTCTCGATTTCACTATCTGAGACGTTGTGGTAGGCTGTTAAAGGGAGTATCAATATGCTGTTTGTCTTTAGCTTGAAAAATGCTACAGATTGGTTACTACAGACTCGAGATTACATCAATTACCAGTAGTTGTGGTTAAAAAGGCTCATGTTCCTCGTGCTTGAAATTCTTATTAATTCGACGTCCATTCATTAAAACCCGTATGGCTAAAGAAGAGTTAGTGAAAACGTAACACGGGGTATGTAGGGACAAAATATACATGACACATTTCAGCTGCATCGGTTGATGAGGGCTCATCATCAACCGATTTATCTCTTTTACCAAAGACTGAGCTTGTCTCCCGAATCGATCTTGTGATGCTTCCAAGATATATAACTGGTGCTGTGAGAGATGGTCAAACACCTGGAGTCTTCACTTATCCCTCACTTCCAAAGCCTGTTTCACAATCGTATAGTAGGATGAAGGCTTCCAATAATTAGTGGCAGTAATAATACATTTCACGCCAATCATCTGCTTATTTATTATCTTATTAATGAATGTTTACTTTCACTTAGTGTATCAAGAATTTAAAACCATCTGCTGGGGTTAGGGAATCAGTTAATACCATTGATGGTGTTCATTGTCTGAAGCACAAACGTTCACTTGGTTGCTGAACCGCATTTCAATTTTGTTTACTGTTTCACAGTTAGAAAATATATCATCGAAAATATGCATTCTACGTTACTAAGCATTATCATTCGACATCACTATGAGGACATTTGAAATAGCCTTATTACCGAAACATTTCTCACCACGATAGTTTTTCAAACATTTTTATTCTCATTCCACCATTTTTTGTGGTAGTATATGACTACTTTTTTGTTTAGAGAAATAGAAGAAGACTATTCTGACCTTATGGAGGGACACAAAATAGAAGACCAGCGTATGGTCCCACAATCCTCAACGATGTTTATTGATATGACAAGTGAAAGTGAAAGCTCCAAAGCAGAAGCGCTGTATACAGTGAATCTATCTACTGCACGAAATATGCTTTCTGAGGCTGTACGGAACCAACAGGAATGTAAAGAAATCTGTTTTCCGCCAGGTATGTATGTATGCATAATTTTCTTAGTAGTTGAATGTAATTTACCAGACGAGATAAATTTTCTGGAAAATGTGCATCTTTCTTAACACTCATCTCATAAAACTCACTTGATACTGTTATATTCCACGACAAGGCATGCTTACGTTATTTTAATAACAACTCTTCGGCGGATTTGAAAACTTCGTTTTTGTGATTTATTAACTGTATTAACAGATAAATGGTATCTATTTGTATTATTTTGGTCATATCTTTTGTATATAGATACACTTATTTCATGAAATATTCGATATTATGAAATGTTTAAGGATTTAAACATGCAATTTAAGAACAATCACAGTGGTGCATAAGGATACACTTTTTATCATCTTCGAAATTCCAGACATTTTTAATGACCTTCGTTTGTTGATCTACTCTCTCGTACACTTTTCTACTTCAGTATCATTTTTCCCATCCACTTCTTTACCTACTGCTGTAAAGTATGGTAAATTGAACTGGTGCACTGTGCCAAGTTTTACGTTAATTTGTCAACACTATAATACAATAATAATCAGTTGATCAGTATATTTGGATGCAATTCAGCTTTCGTCCCAAATTCATATCTAGAGAGCCCACTTATTGATTAATTTCAGTTTTTTTAAAGCTTTTATCATTTGACCACGTAGTATTATTTTGGTTTATCAATCAGTCAACATTTTACAGCTCCTAATAAGTCAGTCAGTATCATCATAGGAACTGGCACTACTGCATAAAGATCCAAGTTACCATAGCTCATATCAGCGCATAAAGATGCAAGTCAGTAAGAAAGATGATAGAAAAGGGAAGGAAAAATGTAGTCAACAGTTGCAGAAGCACATAAAAAGAGAAAGAATGAACGGGAGATTCATAGAATTCAGCTTGCTGATTGAGGCGAAGATAATTTGTAGATGCATATGTGGTGTATATGCCACAGATCGATCCTGATTCATATCGTCTGGAGCCTCTGATCACTGATTTCAGTTGTCATGCGGATCGTGACCGAAAAGTCTGTGCAGTTTATACCGACAGTTGGAAACTTGATAGACTGATGCAGCATTTTAGTCCGGCCGCCTACAACCTTTTTCCAACTTGAACCTACTTTCGCCAACACTACCTGACGATGACGAGGCATGCTTCAAATATATTATAACAATCCGAGTCGGTGGAGGTTCACAACGTCGTCAACTAACTTGCCTCTTCTGCCTAGAATTATACATCTCACCAATGTTTACTTGCTTGGTAGTTCCACAACGTATGTCCTATGCTACGAAAACAACAGTGATCAAATACTTGCCTTATCATGTCCTCTGCCTTTCATGACCATATTTTAAAAGCATGTGGTAGAACAGAGTAAACTGTTGCATAGTACACGCGGCCTTTAACGGGCAGCCAGATATCATGCTAGCGCCGTAGATGGCGTAAGTTTAAAAAATTCCAGAGGTTTCGCTAGTTACTGACGCATCAAGGCTCACTTGACTTCCCAAGTGATTAAAATGGTCATCCTCAACCGCTTCATTGTCTATTGTTAGACGAAGCACCAACACAGACCAGTTTTGGAGCAACAATTTACATTTAGGTGGTAATAAATGCATCTTAGACATTCTAAAATTTATACTTAAGGTATCTATTAAGGAAGTCGCCCAGTCTGGCGATAAGTCCAAGAATCAACCTTAAAGCTCGGTCATCTTTGAGCGATTACCAAGGTTAGTCATAGTAAAGTTAGGTAAGCAGAGGGAAAACTCCATAGGTACATCTGTGATGAAATTTTGTGAAAATGGAGAGGGCAGACACGCTTGACGGACACCAATGGATGTACACAAACTCACCTGACACCTCATCATTGTCTGTAACACACACACGGTTATTCGATTGCACTGCATTCAACAGGGTGTTGTGACTTACCCGGGGCTCCCTTTAGTGAGGGACACTTCAATTTTGATTCCCTTTGTTTGGCATCCTAGCAATCTTTGTTATTTGATATTCGTAATGCTAAATAACTCCCAATTCTTCGCTCTGATACCATACTTTTTGCTAGAAAAACTCCTAACACTAATCAAATAAGTACCTAATGGGACTAAATCGTCCGCATACTTCAAGTTGACTAAGGAGTTCTGTGTGACAAGATCAATCCCAGTAATGCTAGACGAGCAGATGGAGACCTCTATGACGTCTACGACAAAGCTAAATACGAATAAAAAGAGTGGACATGCTTTGTGGGTACATCAGGTACACTTTAAGTCTTAAGCTTACTGCTCTTACTATTGGAGTTTGTCATCAAAAATGAAAATGTCTATAAAGTTAGGTTAGTTTCTCTTGGTTTTAAAACCTAACTGGTGATGAACAAGTGTGATATCGACTTCAGATGTTTATACGACTTTCTACTATGAAGTATAGAAACAATGGTTTGGCCAAGATGATTTTATGTAGAAGAAGAAAGATAGTGGGAACTTTTCCAATTGATCTACGATTTCTGAAGTCACATGTGACGTGAACTGATGGTTGAGGGGTTGTGTTTTCCCAACAATTTTACCTCATTGTTTGAACTACGAAACTACCAACTCTTCTAAACAAAAAGTACACCCCTGATGTTCGTGTTGTCTTACAGTACCAAAATAATGTAGATGTTTGTCATTGTGTTAATGTTTATATTTACATGTAATGTTAAGATTATATATATGGTAAGTAACCATTGCATCATACTTTTTTTCAGAAATGGTTCGTATGATGTTCCGATGTCTCTGGGCCCACGATGGTGATATTTTGTCATTGTTACTTCCTATGCTTCATGTTGCGAAGTCGAACCATACATTCCCTACGGATGTATTTTTCATGGAAAACATCTTGTTGTCTCCTTCACTATGTCGATGGGTAAGAAGTGCTCCATGAATACTGATCCTCCGACTTGGTTAAAATATGTGCTTATAGCTTTATGCGAATTCATCCATCCCCTTAGTAGTTGTGTTTAGCAAGTATATTTACTAACGGTTTCCTTTTTATATAGCTGTTGACAAATACACCACTCGGTTCAACGTTCAACTAAGAAACTCACTGCACAGTTCAGTCTTTCACCATGTTCAAAAATGTCCTGAAGCTCCTGTTATGCCATACTTTAAGTTCGTGTAAATCTGGGTTTTGGCAGCTCCATGGGCAACCGTTTTGGAAAGTCAATGCGTATTTCACTCAGTGACGATAAATCTGATGATATTTTGTTTGATATCTACTTCAGTGAGTAATAGGGCACACCACGAAATCGTGAAATCTGTTTACCGTTACAGAAGTAGGGAATGTTCATCTCGGAGGTTAAAAAGTTTTATATGGTTGGAATAAACCTGAAATATTCCCACAAAATAGTGAACCTTTTTGGTGCCAATTAATGATTATCATGGTTTCATGCTTTTTAAACTGGACCGTTGCATTACAAAGCCTACGTTATATCGTGGTGGACAATATAACCAGCGCAAACTTCAGGAAACATTCTATTTTTGCTCAAAGTAGAAAGTTCCTATGGATTGACAATGAAGTTTGAAGTATGGCCTGTTGGGATACGTGTTCAACAAACATATTATCATGACCATAATTTCTCAATCTAAAACTGACATTGGTCATGGGCATTAGTAGGGGAATCTTTGTCGATATTCTGCTACATATGGAAAAAATACGTTTTGTATGTCTTAGATGTACATGTTTTTATTACGACCCATGTATAAAATTCAGTTTAGAAATTGCCACCAAAACCCAACAGTTAGTGTTTTACATTGACCATTTTTAGATAATTATTGGATCTATCTTGTTTGACATGTGATAAGGGGTAAAGTATACACCTATTCATCCTCTTTACTGTCATGCATTTTTGTCTACTTTGACAATACTCCTTCTCAAACCATCCCTGCTATATGCACTCTCGTGAAGTGTAACGACTTGGCCTGATACACTTCTCTGCAAATTCGTTCATTGGTTTGTTTGATTGATTCGTTAGTCTGTGTATTTTCTGACCAATCCTTTTAGAATTATCATATTTTAACTGTCTAGATAGTTATTTGATTTTGTAGTCATGTCTCGGTGGCCGGCGAGATATCTAACTATCTATCAAAGGACAAGTAGACTGCGTTATAGTCCGTTCTGTCTTGTTATGCGACTGAGAGACATAGCCGTTAAAAGTAGAAGACCTGAAGCGGTTACAGAGTTTTGATCACAGGTGTCTTCATGACATTACTCGCGTTTGACGGAATCACCATGTAAGCAATGTTAAGGTCAGACGAAGGGTACTAGGCAAGGCAGGCAAGTCGATTGATGAGGTTGTAAATCTTCATCGACCGAGATGACTTGGATATGTGCTGCGCATGTCTCTCCGTCGCCTACCTCCATATGCCATGCTTTGGGAATTTGGATTAAGTTGGAAGTGTTCAGGGTGATCAAACCAAGACGTGGCACCAGTCGATGAAATCTTTGACTACTGATGTGAGTCGTGTGGGGAGATGTAAACTGGCTGACTGGGGTCTGAAAGGCGAAAAGAATCTGGCTGAGGACTCTTATCTAACCACTTCTATTTTTTTGTTATATTTTTTCTTCCAAAGGAAATAGCACCTCTGTATTACCACTGCGTTAGCATCCACATCGAAGTTTTATGTGTTTTTCAGTCGTAGACCTAGGAAATACACTTTGTCAGTTTTATTGTTTGTTTACACAACGGATTGTTTATCTAAGACAGACTAAGCACATCATGTTGCTCGTATGCACTTAATATCCTCTGATTACCTTTTCTATTTGAATTTACGTCGTTGATATATAGTTAGTTTTTTCCAGGCGCGTTGTGTGTTTTTGTTAAAACAATGTACGCCGATCTTTATTTCAGCCACGACATGTTGGGAACTTAGTTTATGAACATCCAGAGACTGCTGTTTATGTTCGTATTGTGAAACGTGCACATTGTCTACACAACATTGTGGAATTTATCCATCAACGTAGTGAAGGGGGCAATTCCTGTGACACAAAGAAACTTCCAGAATCGGGACCAGCTGCTAGTATTGAAAACACCATTGATGATTTACATTCCGATGGTGCTCTAAAACTTGCGACAGTGCTTCTTCAGGCAGCTGTTAATGGAATATACGATATGAATATGGCAATTACTCCTCTAGGATTAGAGTCGAAGGTTTCTGGGCCCAACAGCAATGCGATTCGCTTGCCTGGTCTAAGACAACGTTTGGAAAGAAAAGAAGGTCTTTTTCGCATGCATATGATGGGAAAACGGGTTAATTTTGCCTGTCGTTCAGTTATTAGCCCTGATCCAAATCTTAGTGTTACCGAGGTCAGTTTTATGTGCCTGAGTTCTCTACTGTTACACTAAGTTTTATGTAGTTTGACTAAATATTTCATTTATTTGTCATTATAGTTTGTTAATAATGTAACTCATATGACTCACTATGCCTAACGAACTACTGTAATTATCCAACACACTTAGAATACTCACTAATTTCTTAATGAAAATACCACCTTGACTGCTTATAAACGGCCATGACCAGTAGCCCATCCTCCCTTTTTAAGGTAATTCACTGGTTGACTGACGCTTGTTTTCACTATGATGTTCCAAATTCTGGATGAGGTCGCTCATCATCTCTATATACGCTTGTGTGTTTAAGATTATCTGGATCTTTCGGAGATAAACTCTCCCGTTCAGACCAGTCTTATTCCTCCATTTTCATTTGGGGTTTCAGAGTGTGTGATATCTGATATACGAGTTAGCGGTTGGTTAGAAGCGTGCGTATTATATAATATTCGGGAACAACAAAATCAAAGCTGATCTAACCATTAAGTTACACCAATCACCGAAAATACCATCTGTTAACTTATACCGTATAATGAAGTGTTGGCTACCTGGTTTATGTTCTAAAGATTCTAGAGATCTGTGGTTGGTATATATGAATTTACTCCTTACCTTTTTCGAAACTACAAACACTACTATTTTTATCCATTCGCCCTCTGTCGTTCCATACTAGTCATTTTGTTTTGACATGTTTGCAATTTCAGTGAATTGTTCTCTGTCACGTTGCGAAGTATAGCAACTTGAACCGTTCCGTTTTCTTCTAAAGTTCTACGATATTCTGTCTGTCTGTCTACTTGTACGTGAAGCGGTGCTTTTATTTCTAGTTATACTAACTTTTCCAGCGAACTGTGTCATACTTCATAGAGTGGCATTTGGCAACCTGCATCATTTGTGGTACCGGTGAGATATCCGACTCTGTCAAAGGAAATGTTTGGTGTTCTGCAGTTCCTCCTGCCCTGTTATATGTCTGTGAGATATGCCCGTTAAAAGTAGAAGACCTGAAGCGGTTACAGAGTTTTGATCACAGGTGTCTTCATGACATTACTCGCGTTTGACGGAATCACCATGTAAGCAATGTTAAGGTCAGACGAAGGGTACTAGGCAAGGCAGGCAAGTCGATTGATGAGGTTGTAAATCTTCATCGACCGAGATGACTTGGATATGTGCTGCGCATGTCTCTCCGTCGCCTACCTCCATATGCCATGCTTTGGGAATTTGGATTAAGTTGGAAGTGTTCAGGGTGATCAAACCAAGACGTGGCATCAGTCGATGAAATCTTTGACTACTGATGTGAGTCATGGGGGTAGTTACAGACTGTCTGACTAGGGTCTCCGAGGTGAAAGGACTCAGTGGTTGAGGACTCTTGGCTGAAAGTCAGTCACAATGGCGCAGATGTGTCGACCCCTTGACATCTAACGCTTGAATATTTGCACTGACCCTTATTTTCAGATTGTTTGTTCTCACACACTACGTTGTATTCTTTGACATCGCTTTTGATCTATCCACTTGTTCTTTGAATTCTACCTTAAAGTATGGGAACTTGAACCGATGCACTTGTGTGTGGGGTTCTACGTTGACTTTGCCCGTCTGCCTGTATGTGTATCTGTCTGTTAGAGATGTTCATTTAGGTTCAAAGTGTAGGTCATTCAGTCACGTTTCCTTTCGCTGCATCTAGCAATAAGGAATTTTTTGTGGTGTGGTCATGATTGAGTATTGATGTTCACACTAGCACATTCTATATCCTTGCTTCCTCCAGAAACCAGTAGGTTTTATTTATTTCAGGTTCATTTCCACACAATGATTACGTCACTGTTCATAACAATGTCAGACCGAAGTTTACTATGTATACCATATTTTTTTAATTCTGGTAACATCCTTAATCGTTACAGCCATTTTCACTCAACTCACAAATGCTCTCAATAGTAAAGAATTTCCTGACATAAATGAGTACAGTGGACCACCTCATGTAGGTAACGGAGGGCAACATATTAGTGCTCTGTTAGTAACTTAAAATATTTCCCACGCAACAAAGTAAACATGTATGACTTTGGGGGGTCATGATGAGTTAGCACCCCTCTTCTATGTAGCTAATACTTTATTCATCCGAATTAACTTGAAATCGGATACAAGCGGATGAAGGCCTACAGAGGGGAGCAGAAAGTCTTTGCTTCGACTACGGGATATTCTAAGCAACAACATAAAAACCATACCAGTCGCACAAGAAGTGGCTATCGTGGTTCGATAGCCTAGTGGATAACGCTCTGGCGTTTGGAGAGATCGTTCCCGGGTTCGTGTCTTAGTTGGGAGCAACATCGCTCTCTGGGAAGGAGTTATATTCAGCTGACGGGTTTCAGATTCCACTACTAGCCATTATCCATCATTATTATATTCCAAACTGTTCTGATGCAGCAGTTAATGCCTAGACTTTATTTAAAAGTCTGGACCATGAATGAATGTCGAATTCCTTAGACGCGTACTCATCAAACGTGGTTGTGCACTTAACCTCACCTGAACAGTGGGGAAGTCTGTACTAACTATTCATGCACCTATGAGTAGCTTTAACAGTCAATGTATTCAGTCTTTCAAGTGTAGGTATACCATTAGTTCCTAGAACAGTAGTTTTTCGTAAAATGCAGAAATCTAATTGGTGACTTCGGCAGTTGTTAGGCTGTCCTTTAGATCAAACTAGTTTCACAGATTCTTGCTACGTCTCTATGCTCAGTTCACCCACACAATGAGTCACAATGCAACTCTCACAACCTCATACAACGGAAGAAAAAGTCTTTTGCTTATTGTCCGTGTAGAGTTGTAATTCATTGGTTTAGGACGACGATTTTCAACCAGTGGGTCATGGATTCGAAGCCCGGTTCACCTACCAAAGTTTTGGCAGTCTTCACATAATGGGTATGGCTCATTGCCTACTGAACGGATGTACGCGAAGTTACTTACTGTCTGTACATGTCAGGCGATCTGAATTATCATATACAACTGAATTTTCTTTCTACAAAGCACCATAACTCCTCGAAATGAAACAATCGATTTCATGTGCAGAAAGTGGGACAACGCGTACTATGTTAATACACTCAACAGTCATTTATTTTCTATCTATAAGTCATACATAGGTGGGTCAGGGACCAATCCAAATCTCTTGAGTCGAGCTATGCGCATTAATGTTACCAAATAATTCATAGGTAAAATATCTTTTAAAATAAGTTAAATGGTGTTGTGAGCAAATAGTACTTATGAGATTTCGCTGAAATTTTGTCGTAGAGACACCTTTCCACACCGTCATAGATGTTTGTTATTGGTAAAAAGAATTTTAGGTTCAACTAAACTTTAGTAACGGGAAACCTTGAGGACAACCAATCAGGTTCAAAGTGATGTATTCAAGCTATTTGTTACGTTCATTTAACGTGTTGTTGACGCAGCATTAACCTTTGACGAATTATGATAAAGATTACATGCCAAGTTTTATGTGAAATTCGTTGGAGAAGGTAATGTAGGTGAATGTCTTGTTCGGAAACTTGATTATAACGTAGGAAGATGACTAAAATAGGACTGAGCAAGTTATCTATCCCTTACCCAATGTATGTGTACGTACATTTGTCTTGGCAAAACACAGATTCTCGGTATAGACGACTGAAATACGAAGAAGAAGAAGAAGAAGACACTTTCAGTTGATAGGGAATAGATAATAAAAATCTGTTGCAGCAGTTTTGTGGGAGAACGTGGCATTAGGTACTGCAACATACACAGACGCTTGTAAGTCATATATGCTTTTATGTGAGATAGATTACCCGTGTCAAGTTATCGTTCACAAAAAGTACTTGGTTGATTGAACAACTGGGGTGCACATAAACTACTTTGTCAATATGTGGAGTCGTCTTAGGAATTTCTTAAAGTCTTTGACGGAATCACAAGGGTAAATTTCCCAAATATCATTTAAATAATATTTCCACCTATGGATTAGTGACACTATAGACAATGGTGTGATTTCAAAGATGATAAACTTATTTGAAATCTAGATATCTTTATTTTTCATGTGAAGTAGATTAATAACTTGTAAGTAACTTGAAGTACCATTTTCCTTAATAACTAGTTTGTCCTTCATACTCTTGCTTCTTATTGGTCAGTGTATACTTGAACGTGATTGGCCGTCACTAAAGTTTAATTGAACCGAATTTTATTTTTCATCTGCTAGGATGATGCAATCTAACCTAGAAGTATACATCCCTAATTAGTATCTTGTCATATTGATCGTCTATCAAATGTGAAGTTGAAATGTTTGCTTTCAGTACGTGTGAATCGTACTGACCGAAGTATGATATTACCACCACGGAATTGTCAATCATCCATTCACTTTTTTATTTTTCTTGGAAGGAATCAAGTATTACTAAGGTAGTGTTCACCACAGATTGATATCAGATGGAGAACCATTAAAAACATGGGAGCACTGGATAGCTGTTTCGTTTTAGTGTGAGACTTCTCGGCAGTGCGCACTTACTACCCCACCGGGGATTGAACTCAAAATCTTTAAGTTTCATGGCAAATATGTTAACCTAACCATTCAGCCGCTGGTTCGGAGTTCAGAGGTTCACAGTTCCCTACTTTGGTCAACTTGTGGTATAGCGTGGCTATCACCCAGGGTTCTTCAGTTCGCATCCGCTTCACTTCAGACTGGTTAACCCCACAGGTTACAACTTTTCATTAGAACTTTAGAACATCCATCTCGAAGCATGCCAGTTATCAGAACTATACAGTAATGTAGTTTAGTGTTTATAGGAATCTTACCTTTAAGGTGTGTACTTCGGAAGAGTCGCATACTAAGACGAAACAGCTCCCCAGGTTTTCAGTGGTTCCCCAACTGATGTCAGTCAGTCCCATGGTGAATACTACCTAAAAAATAAAATCCCCATAAACGGAATAAACTAATATGTTTGACTGCTTTGGTAAATTGCTGGTATATTTCTTCGTCTGTTGTTACTTCCTTATGGGAAAGAGGTTATCGGTATTAAATTCTTAGCCACTTTTAAACAAAACACATTTATACATTATAATGGAATCAAATGTTTACAAAATACAGTCTACTGTGAAAAATATCATCATGGTTTTTTGTGGAAACTGACAACTTTAAATCATGTGATATGTATGATCTGATATGATCTGCTCGATGACTTTCATCTAGCTAGCGTATTTTATTAGTCGAAATGAGTAGTCTATACCTACCTACTCATGTTAGTTAGTTAGTAGTATATTTTGTACATCTTGTATGCATTATTATCCTTTGGTTCATTTTCATAGCTAATCGTTTTATTGATGTTCTATTTGTTCTGAATATCAAGGTTGGCGTTCCACTGTTCTTTGCATGTCGTTTAACATTTCCAACACCAGTAACAAAATTCAATTTGGTTCAATTACGACAGTTAGTAATGAATGGACCGAATAATTATCCAGGAGCTACTAGTATACAGTTTTCCAATGGTATTACTACTATGCTGCCGGTAAATGATACTCCTCAGGCCAAGAAGAAACGTGAAATGTTGGCTTTGCGTTTGAAACCGCTTATTTCAGATAAAGATATTATGCCGATTGTGGTGAGTGAGGTTGTACGATTCAGTGAGTGTTTATGTATGCATAATTACACAGTACATGTTCTATTTGGGTTTACTGTGTTCTCTGAGCTGAGTTGTTGAGTCGTGAAGCTTTCATTTTCTTTCTACACGACATCATCAGCACTACAGTAGCAGCAATCCAACAACGCGTAAAATTAGTCTCGTGCAGACTCTATTCAAAAAAGCGAGAACACATTGCAGTAGAACAACTACACGGAGAAACGAAGAAAATCGCTTGATGTCCATCCTAAAGAAGAATAGCTACCCACGAAACGTTGTCAGAAGATGTCTATCCCACATACCATCAACTACAAAGTCATCAACAGAAATCAATAAACGCATTATCCTACTGTACATAAAGAATATATCAGAAATCACGACAAGATTACTGAGACCACTTGGAATTGGTGTGGCTCCAAACACTATTATGCCGACCAAAAGATGCAACTGCTAAAGAAGACAAAGCGAATATCATTTACAAAACCAACTGAGATAATTGTGATGAACACTACATTGGACAAGGTGGTTGCCCTCTTCGCCTTCGTTTACATGAAGACCAATTGGCTATTAAACGTCATAGATGACATTTCATAACTCATTTCAATGCAGTTGGATAAGAACTGTGGACATGAATCGAATTTCGACAATGTAGAGATTTTGGATGGAGAGGGGAAACACAAAGAATGAATATCAGAGAATTCCTAGAATGTTGGTATCCGGGAAACAATCAGTCAGCAAGCAATAGATGTATAGACATAGAGTGAATCTGTTGTCAACCAATGAGGAAAGTGGTAAACTACAGAAAGAACAGAGGTGAAGAAGAGGAACAGCCAACAGGAAAATCTATGTATTGAATGACGCAACAATCGAAGGAAACAAGCAATCACAAATTAGTTCTTCAGGGTAATTTATTGAATCACTGAGGGAGAGATGTTGACAGCTGACTTCATAGTGAAGTTAGTGCTAATGATGTCTAGAAAGACGATGTAAACTCAACGACTGAACAACTTAGCTCAGAAAGCACAATACAACCAAGACCATCCACCTGAGCTACAATATTCCTCCACATGTTTAACTGTCATGCACTTTTTTCGTATTAAGGTTAACCGCCATCTTCTCGAAGGAGATATGCTCATCATGAACCGACAGCCTTCTCTTCATCGTCCATCAATGCAAGCACATCGTGTTCGAATAATAAAGTGTACAGGAGCGAAAACTTTACGATTACATTATTCTAACTGTAAGGCATACAATGCAGATTTCGATGGTGATGAAATGAATGGACACTTTGTACAAAGTTACGCAGCACAAGCAGAACTTGAAACACTAGGTAGGCTAATTTTGAAGTTGTTCCTATTCATTATAAATCATCAGTATTTGTTATTCATTGCTCTTATCTAGTTTAGAGAACTGAATTGACTCAGTGTGTTGTGATCTGGGGCTCAGTGATCCAGAGAGATGGTTATCAACCAGTAGGTCACTGGTTCGAACCCGCTACACCTACCGAGGTTTATGCGGCCAGGTAGTATCACTAGCCTTCATACAGTAGGTGTAGTTCACAGCCTGATGCACGGATGTGAACAAGGTAGCTGGGTGCCTTTCGCTCGGCCCATATACTACTTTTGTAGATAAGACAATATCACCGTCGATTTTTTGTCATCCCGCAATCTCTCCTGCTTGTGTACTTACACAAGAACTATTTGTTTCATACCTGATCCCTTCAAAAGTGGAAAGTGTTGTCTACAGCATTTGAATAACCGTCTTCTAAAAACTGGCTATTTGATTACCTTCAAAGTTTGGTGTATGTTGTCATACTTTTGATAAATAGTTGTAGTAGTTTTCAACGTATCTATTTTCTCTTCCCTACCTTTGTATTTCCTTTCCCCATTAAACGTGTTTAGCTTCTGTACCTCATCAATATCTGGTACCTAAAGATGGGACACCGCTTGCTGGGCTTATACAAGATCATGTTATCGCTGCGGTTAAACTAACCATGCGTGATCGATTTTTTGAACATGCTGACTACTTAGATCTTGTATATCATGCTCTTCGACCATTGTTTACTGCCAACAGACGAGCATCTCATGGTCCACCGTCTATTATCACAGTCAAACCTGCAATATGCTGGCCAAAATGTCTTTGGACTGGAAAACAGGTATTGAATAAGTGTATTTTATGCAGATGATAATTTATCTTATCAAAATTGTTGGATTATATTTCTCTGTTGTAACCTTCTGAAGAAAAGTGTGTAACAGTATGCGGAATAAGCCTTACTGATGAATGCCAACTAACTCGAAACTTAGGTTCTCAGGGTTTACTACCGATAGCCTCCAACCAACTAACATTTATTAGTATACACTTTGATAGTTTTAATTCTGCCAGGTTAATCTGTATAAATTAAGTTTGATTCGGGAACTTAATTAGTTGTGAATAGCGCACAGTTGTTAAGGCGTGCTTAGTCAAATGTCTAAATGATAGAGCTAGAAAGCTGACTGATCAATGCAAAGACCTAGACAAGGAACTGAAGCACATAATAGCTCGTAATTAACCTTTACAGTTTATTAAAAAATTCTTATGAACACATGAGAAACAAAATAATGGCTAAAAACACGAGTAGAAAGGTGTTCACAGCCTCCATTGTATTACCCTATAATGAAGGAGCATCAGAAACTTTATGTAGGGTTCTCAACAAGACTGGAATTAGGGTGGCATTTAAAACTGTAAATTCACTCAGATAAACTTTGTCAACTGGCTTAAGGATCTGATAGAACCAATTCAGGAAAATAATTTAATGTGTCAAATCCCATGTAAGGATTGTGAACGAGGTCAAGTAACATAGGTGAAACTAGCCGATCGGGGTCAGTTAGAATAGTGGGACATAGGAATTTGGCTAAATATAGAATGACAGACCTGAATAAGATCAGTAATCTAGGGAAACACTTGACTATTACAATCCATGCATTAACACACAACCACGCAATGGGGTGGATGTGGGATAAAACCACTGTATTCAGGTCCAATATAATTAGGTGAAGGGAAAGACTGATTACTGAATCTTTGTTCATCGAATCAACCAACACCCAACACATTAAATAGGAATGACGCAAGATATAGGAAATTTTACTATCACTAAAACCAAAAAATAAGAGGTGATAGGAGTGTATAAAAATCAGATATCGAAAGTTCTGTGTGATTACATTGATATGATTATGAGCAATAATAATTTACTCTCGAAACGTCGTCATCCAATAAATCATACTGTATCACTGTGTGTTATAAATCAAATTGACAAATCTAGTATGGAATGTGTTGGTTAAATTTATTAGACTTCACAGTTACATGCTATGAGAAAGTGGGTAGAGAAATAATGACCTCAAAGTAGACAAAGGTGTATGGGAAAACCAGGAATTTGAAAATCAAGTTAAGCCAAAATATTCAAGCTTTAGAAGAAGTCAGAGAACAAACACATCTGCACCAGTGTGACTGATTTTCAGTCTTGTCATCAAGTGTCTCCAATGTCAAGCTGTGACTCATTAGTCTAAGAAGATGACTTTGAACGAATGGGTTGCTGGTTTGAATCCCGCTCCACCTACCGAAGTTTCGGCAGCCAGGTAGTATCATTAGCCCTCACACAATAAGTGTGTCTCATTGTCTACTGCAGGAATGTGCACAGGGTTGGGTGTCTGCAACCATTGATTCCTGTTGTCTCCGGGACCCCAACCAGGTAGTTTGCTCCTCCACATTTCGCTCAGACCAAGAGTCAGAGAAGAGAAGTGAAATCCAACAGAGGTCGATCAATTCAACCCAATATATCAACGGGTAACTTCATGAGACTGGCGCTAAGTCTTCCTCTGACCACCCTTAGCTGTCTTTCAACATAATCCAACTTCTGCTAACACTATCCACGTCTGGGTAGGTGGTGGTTAGGCACGCGCAACACATATCCAAGCCACCTTAGTCACTGATGGCTCATAACCTCTTCGACCGACTTGCCTATCTTACCCAGTACACTTCGCCTGACCTCATGATTGCTAACATAGTCATTCCACCAAATGCGAGCAATGGTACAAAGACACTTGTGATCCGAAACCTATAACCGCTTCATGTCTTCTACTTTTAACGGCCATTTGGCACAACCGTCTAACCGGACAAAACGAACTGCAGCACACTGTACTCTTCCCTTGATAGATTGCTGGATATCTCATCGGTGCTACAAATGTTGAAAGTTGACAGTCGAGCTGATGCAAGTTGTTGGGTTACTGTTAAAATCGTGTTGACTAGTTTTCGATGGTGCCAGTTAAAGTTGTACTTGTAGTGTAATGTTTACTTTAAAATGTGTGTTATATGGTTGAAGTCAGTTAAAGGAAACCTTGAACTTGAATTGGTACTCATCAAAGGGGCACATCTGCAACCTCAAAGGAAATGATAACTCTTCAGAGATTTGATTATTTTCATCAGTCAATGTTGCGTCCAGAAACGTTACCAATGATCTGTCTCAGGCTAAAAATGAATTCATTTATGCACTAAATTAAATAGTTTGGAGACAGTGAAGAGTGATTTTTGTCACTGATGTTAATCACATTCTATCGATCAAGTTCTCAATGTGATCTCTGAGCTAGGAGACTTGCCATGACTGTATATTTTTTAGGTTGTTAGAAGCAATTGACAGCGTATCATACCGATGAAGACCAAGAATGATAGAAAATGATACTAATGACTCCAGTAACCGATCGAGGTATCATTTTACGTAAAGAACAAAAATGAAATATTTTACCATGCTGCCTAGTAATTGAGTTTATCGACTAACTTCCCCTATGAAGATATACAAGTGTGCATTGTTACCTCGGTAGAACTAAACTTTACTGACTTGAAACCTTAGGAACGACCAATCAGGTCCCTGATGATACCTACGAAGGTCAATCCCTTACGTCTGTTTACGACATTGTTGACGCTGCAGAAGCTGTTTATGAATCACGACGAAGATTACGTTGTCGGTTATTTGCAGCGAGTTGGATTGCTTACGAGAAGTCTAAATTGTGTGTGGTAGTGCATTGGACTGCGTAACTAGGATGCCAAACATAAATATAACCGCGGAAGATAACTGAAGCAGGACTGGGTAAGTAACACATGTCTCGACAAATCACACATTTTGGTACGTACGATCGAAATACGAGAAAAAAGACACTTTTGGTGAACAAAAAATAGATCTGAAGAATTTATCCTACCAGTTATGGGAAAATGGGTAGAATTAGGAGCTACAATATACGCAAATGCTTGGAAGTTGTACATGTCGTTATCTAAAATGGATTATCCCCACCAAGTTATTGTAGACAATGAGCACTTCGTTGGTCAGGTAACTGATGTACACCCAAATAACGTTGGAAATATGTGGAGTCGTCTTCGAAAGTTCCGAAGACCTTTAAGTAGGATCACAAGGCGTCGTGATCCTCTAGGGGATATGATTTAGTCGCAAATTGATGAGTGACAATAAAGATAATGTTATGCTCTAAATATCTTTATTTCTCATCTAAAACAAATGATTTGTAAACAAAGTATTATACTCGATTCTGATTAGTCGGTCCATACTTGTACGTGATTATTATTATTATTTGTCCCTTGGGTTCCTAGTGGTACATAGGGCTTCAGTAGTACGTCATCATTGCACTCTCTTCTCTCCAGTCTTTTGATCCTGGCTCCACCACTGCCCACAAGCTCTCATTTCTTCCTCACACCATCTCCTCCAAGTCACCCTCAGGTCGGACGCCCAACTCGTAGTTTCCCCTGTGGGTTTGACTCTAGGGTCTGACCTGGCACGTGATGTCCCCGAATGGTCTTCTCAGTGTATGTCCAATCCAATCAATGTCCACTTTCTTCTGCATATTTGTTGGGCAACAAGTTGCTGGTTGGTTTATTACCAGGCCAGCCAGCCAGAATGAGTTCTTTGTTGCTTATTCTTATTATTCTAACCATCTGATCTTCAATATCGAACGTGATTGGCCAACACTAAAGTTTAGTTCCAGAGTTATTTCTCTTTTCAATAACTTGGATAACTAATGTTTGCTTGAATGTGCTTCTAGTCATAACTAATTTAACATATTTTTATACTCCACAGCTGATGAAATAACTTGGTTAAGCAAAGTTGCTAAAAAGTATTTCTGGAACATTTCTAATACCTATGCATATTTTTGTTAAACTGTATGAAATCAGTAATAAAATTTCACGATAATGCTTCCCTGATCTTTATAAAAAATGATCATGGTTTTCTATTGGGCTTCCTTGGTTAGTCTTATGCACAGTCAAACTTTTTTTCATATAATGATTGATTAAGTGAAGTAGTTTTGTTGGTTTTATTCTGTGTGTGAATTAAATACTGATGAAGTCACGTAGAGTCTACTGATGAAATGTCCTAAACCAAACATTGAAGCTCAGAGAATGCCAACCAACTATATGGTTATCTGATTCTAGTCATGTATAACAAATGAATGGACTTGCTCAAATAGCATCTGAAAGTAACTAGATCTTATCTGTAATCACATGTAGTTGTGTCCACTATATGAAAAGTTACACTTTATTATTTGAGGTCTGATTGTACTACTCCATGACATCTCGATCCACGACATTTGAAGTGTGTCTCACGCCTTTTATCTACCGGTTGAAAGTCAACTGCCTAGACTCATGTGCCTCAGTTTCACCTACTATCCGTTTCCTGAGTGTGGATCTTGTTAACAAGTGATCACTATGTCATGATGTCTATCATCACCATCATCATCATCATCATTCATCAACATAGGACCAGGCATTACTGCGTAACGGTTAGAGTTGCCACACCTCATATCAGTACATCAAATAAAAAGGCAGTGAAGTGGAAGATGAAGAAAAGAAAATTCAGTCAAAATAAATATGAAGTAGTCAGAGTGAAAGGAAGAGTGAGAAAATGGTGAAATTCGGGATAGCGTTAAGATGAGGATAATGTGTGTATACATCTGCGCCACTGACATTGGTTCTGAGCCATGTCATCACCTAGCGTCTCCAACCACTCACTGGTTTTTCCTGTCCTGCAGACCCTAACTGGCTGGTCTTAACTCTACATGGTTCAAACCAACAGTCAAACACTTCATACATTGGTGCCATGTTTTAGTGTGGCCACCTCGAGCCTGTTTCCAGCCTGAACCTACTTCGACATGATGTTTATAATGGATGTCCAATTGGAAATTAAACTAAATGAAGCCAATTGTTAGTAGTGGTGAACTTGAGCTGCAGTTTTTTTATTCCTTTCTAACATAGGATATTGTTTAATGCCATTCATGTTCTATACTCTTTATTTCAGGTTATTTCAACATTATTAATAAACTTGACGCCACCAGGTTTGCTACCATTGAATGCTACTCTAAGAGGTCGTCGTACTAACGCTGAACTTTGGTCTGGAGTTGCTCCAGGTGGTCCGACACTGATGTCTGATGTTGATTTAGTTGTATGTGATGGCTACCTTGTGTCTGGTATGCTGGATAAGGCACATATCGGTTCAAGTAGTACTGGTTTAGTACATTGTGTTTACGAAGCGTATGGACCAGAATCGGCTTCATGTCTATTGAATGGAGTTTGTTTACTAGCCAATCAATTTTTAAAATTCACTGCGTTCACCATGGGATTGAAAGATATTTTACTATCACGAAAGGCAGATAGAGAAAGAGATCGTCGTTTCAGTAGTCTTAGAGATCTTGGTCTTTGCGCTTTTGCCGATGCATTCAATTTGAAACCCGAAGAACTTACTGAATCTAATGTAAAGCGTTTGTATCGTCATGCACAGTTCCCACCACCTACCGATCAGTCTTCACAAAAACGTCTTGCTCAATTAGATATGGCAATAAAGGACCGTTTAAAAAGAGCACAAGATGCAGTATGTGATTCTGCTATACCAGGTGGCTTATATGTTGGTTTTCCAGAAAACAATTTACAACTCATGGTTCGTGTTGGAGCTAAAGGTGGTATGGTAAGTGGACCTTGAATGTTGTGTATCTACTGCTCACTGTTACGAATACTCATCTTAGGAATTATGCTGTCTGTATTGTGTTACATGTGACATTCTGGTCATATTTTTATATTTCACTCGTGTAGAACATTTTCAGATAAGCTTTTATTATTATTTTTCTTAACAATGTTTCTTTTAATTCAGATTTCTAAGATTACAACTCAGTTTTAAAAAGTGTTGACCCCATGCACCTGTTTTGCGTTAGCTCTTTGCAAAACTAGTTTTGCAACTGTACATTTCCTCTGTGATATTTTTGTGTCAGAGGTGACAACATGCAATCTCCGTTAAATGTTTTTCAATGGAAATTCTTGATCAGTTGTAAAACTAGATATCTGTGAAAAATGCCAACATGAAACGTGCGATTTGCAAGTTGTGTACTAACGTGTTGATTCAGTAAGTTGGACTAATAGACTCAGCTAACCTTGAACCACTGACTATCCAAAGGCATCACTGTGGAGCTTATTTTCAAATGAGCTCAACAGTCACCTGATATTTTGAATAATTATGAGGATAATGAAATGTGCCAGCCGGTAGGATTGGTCTCTGAATCTTCATGTTGTTGATGGGACCAAAAGACAATATGAATATTTCAGGTTAGTATTCATCATGGACTGACATCAACTAGAGGAATATTGGGAACCTGGGAGGACTGGACAGCTGTTTCGTCCTAGTATGGAGCTCCTCAGTATTGCGCACCCATGACCCCGCCCTCCATGGATCGAACCCAGCACCAGTTTCCGTAGCCAGCATGTTACCACTGAACTAGCTAGTGGGTCGGAATCCATTGGTCCATATTTCCAACTTCTGTTATTTCACGACAGTGCAACCATCATCCATTATCGCTGCTGAGTATTTGTCCTCACGGCCATCAGGACATAGTGGGCATTGCTGAAAAGTCCCATACTAGGACAAAATATCTGTCCTGTGCTCCCAAGTTTATAATGTTCCTCGAACTGATGTCAATTCATGGTCAATACCAACTTGAAATCAATAAATCCCTCAAATTGAATATGAATATTGTTTTTTTATGAATTCCATATGTATTTAAGGATAAATTTTTTGATTTACTCAGAGGTTTTATCACGAAAAACGATTGTATTACAGATGATATATTTTTTCCACTACTGCATATCAGAACCTCGGTTCTTCGTTTGTTATGCAGATACTGAAACGGTGTTCACCTCTGCCAATGCCATGCTGAATTTCATTCTACTTATATGTTGATAGTAGTAAAGTTGAGTTATACTTTTTTTGCCACAAAACCATGGCTACTTAGGCTTCTCTCTGATGTTCTACTGATAATTTATTATGTTTAACTCGGATACTTAATGAGCACGTTTCAAGCTTCACATTGTTCTCGCTGAATATCCAAGTGCCAACTTCTTCAGTCTGTGCTTATCAAGCGGATCCTATTTGAGATAAACGATAACTTCTTGAAATATTAGTTGTTTGAAAGGTAGAAGACAAAGGTCAAAGACGAGGTAATATGGTAATTCTGCTAAATAATATTCACTATATGATGGTGTGTTGATGACCATAATAGTGGATTACTACCGTTATAGTGTACCGTTACCGTTATAATGTAAATTGCTACACTATGATGGGGGTCTGAGGGCGAAGTCGTACTGCTGCTAGCTGGATGGGGTGTGACAGCAGTAAGGTGTTTCCCTTGGATGACCAGCAGTGCCATGCTGATGCTGCCTTCTCAGTGGAAGGGGGGGTTAGAAAAGGTCGGCCCCAAAAATAACACACTCCACCACGCCCCACGGTCTGCCGGGCCGGCGGTGTTGGTTCACTTGTCGTTTCCTTTCGACCATCCGGCCCCAAAAATACAAAAGTTCAAAATAATCATACTCAAAAGGCTGGGTGTGACAGGCCTCAAGCAGATGTCCGATGGGCTCTGCGGTCACACAAATCTCTTTCAGGTACCTTAAGAAGAAATAGCCTTCCACGGTGTGGGCAGCCGGGAAGTGTCAACCGCCCTCACAACTCTGTCAGCACCCAAGTTTCTTCTGACTGCTATCCTCCTCCTCCATCATTACCTTCTAATCTTCCTTCACGTCTCTTAATTAATGATGCTGCATCATCTTCAATTTCTCCTACCTCTGCAGCCTTCGACAACGATCTGAGTCCACAGAACAGCATCCCTGGTCTCCTTAAACCACGCTCCAAATTACATATTGGAGCCTTCAATGTCCGCACCCTCCGTCAAATTGGCCAACAGGCTTCGTTGGCAAAGACTCTAGCAACTCGGGCATGGATGTGTGCTGTGTTTGTGAGACACGCATACAGGACCCAAGTGTGGTTATTCTCCTGACCAATCTGGTGAATCTGCAAAATTCACCCTTCGAGTTTCTGGAGATTCGATAGCTAGCTCTCGTGGTCTTGCAGGTGTAGGTATAGCATTAAGCACCAGGGCAGAAAACTCACTACTAGACTGGATCCCAGTTGATAGTCGCCTCTGCGCTATGAGGCTGAACGGCACAGTGAGAACTAAAAGGAATAGTGAGACTCGCCGTTGTCTCTTTGTAATCTCTGCTTACGCACCCACTGACTGCAGTTCGGATGAAGTGAAGGACGAGTTCTACCATAAACTGTCTAACCTCCTCTCGAAAGCCAAACGTTCGGACGTAGTGGTTGTTGCAGGTGACCTCAACGCACAGGTGGGTAGACTGAGTGAGGCAGAAAGGCACTTAGGTGGCACTTTCGGAATCCCAGCTGAACGTACAGATAACGGTGATCGCCTATTACAACTATGCTCAGATAACCGCCTATTTTTAGCCAGCACAAATTTCAGACATAAAGAAAGGCACTGTCTGACCTGGCGTCCACCGAGCTCGACTCAGCGATGGACACAGATAGACCACATTGCTATTAGTCATCGCTGGAGAGGATCGGTGGAAGACTGCCGCTCCTTCTGGAGTACGTGTTTGGACAGCGATCATGCGTTGGTCCGAGCACGTATATGCCTGCGTCTCAATGGACGTAGAAAAAATTTGGCAACAAAACCACTACGAGTTCTGCTGGACAACGAAAACACCAAAGCCGTGTTCAGTGAGAAGTTGGCTAGGCAGTTATCGGAACAAAAGACTGTCACTCATCCAGAAGAAGCTTGGTGCCATCTTCAGTCTACTGTAAAAGCAGCACTGGAGACTGTAGCCGACTCCAAGATAATGGCTAAAAAGAGCCAGTGGATATCAGCAGCTTCTTCCAAACTAATGGATGCACGTGAATGCATCCCTGCAGGCTCTGAGTACAATGAAGAGCGAGCGCAACTTAAAAATAAACTGACGAAAAGTCTGCGCAACGATCGTGAACAGTGGTGGGCAGCAAAGGCTAAAGAGATGGAAAAGGCAGCGGCGATCGGTAACAGTAGACAGTTATTTAGACTTATTAAGGAGACTGGGGGGAAATGGTCAACAACAGTTAGTGAGGCTATAGCGGAGAAGGACGGATCTGCGATTCACTCGCAGGGAAGGCGACTGGGACGATGGGCAGAACACTTTGAGGAACAGTTTAACTGGCCTCCAGCCACCATTGCGCTGCCCGCTATCCAGTCGGACCCTGAATGGGACATAGAGACAGGCCCCCAACACTAGAAGAAGTTGAGAAAGCGGTAGGTAGCCTGAAACGGGAAGGGCAGCAGGACCAGACGGACTACCTGCTGAGGTATACAAGAATGGTGGTAGAGTGCTCTTAGTCAGGCTAACGGAAGTGTTAGCCAGTATATGGGAATCAAATACGATCCCCTCCGACTGGTCTAAGTCACTCATCATCCCAGTCTTCAAGAAAGGCGAGAAGTCCTCTTGTGATAACCACAGAGGAATCAGCCTGACAAACATAGTGTCTAAGATCCTAAGTTCTATAATTCTCCGACGCCTGAGTGGAGCTCGGGAACAGCAAGCCCGAGAAAACCAGGCAGGCTTTAGACCTGGCCGTGGATGTATCGACCAAATATTCACACTGCGCCAGGTCCTGGAACATAGGCATGCTTACAGACGCCCGACAATAGCTGTATTTCTCGACCTGAAGGCGGCATTTGACTCCGTTGATCGAGAAGTCTTATGGCAGTGTCTGTCACTGAAAGGCGTGCCTAGTAAGTACATCACCTTATTGAAAGCTCTCTACTCGAACACTTGTGGGCATGTTAGAGCCTATGGTGAGTTGTCCAGGGAGCTATACTCATCAAGTGGTGTCCGTCAAGGATGCCCACTATCCCCATTCTTATTTAATTTTATCATAGATATTCTTATGGAGGTTTCCCTCTCGTCACCTAATTACACAGACGTTGACCCGATCACAGGTGAATTTTCCTTAGATCTAGAATATGCAGATGACATAGTCCTGTTAGGTGAAGACGCTGACAAGATGCAGAGTCTTCTGAACACTTTGAGTGGGAATTTGAGAATGTTTGGGATGCGATTTTCACCACCCAAATGCAAATTTTTGCTCCAGGACTGGTCTTCAGCGGTACCGCGGTTAACAATAGAGAGTGAAGTGGTTGAGTGTGTTGACCACTTCACTTACCTGGGAAGTAGGATCAACCCGGTGGGTTAGTTGCCGATGAGATTTCTGCACGGATACAAAAGGCTCGATTGGCTTTTGCCAATTTGCGCCACCTATGGCGCCGCCGTGATATTCGTTTGTCTATTAAGGGTCGCGTGTACTGCACAGCAGTCCGCTCTGTTCTACTGTATGGCTGTGAAACATGGCCATTGAAAGTGGAAGATATGAAAAGGCTTCAGGTGTTTGACCACCGTTGCCTTCGTAGTATAGGACGTATTCCGTGGTGTCACCATGTGAGTAATGCAGAAGTTAGGTGTAGAGTTTTAGGGAGAAGAGGTAAGTCAGTTGACGAGGTTGTGAACCTTCATCGACTGAGATGGTTGGGACACGTACTACGTATGCCTAGTCACCGATTGCCTCGTCACACAATGTTGGCTGAGGTGGGTTCAGGCTGGAAAAAGGCCCGAGGTGGCCAGACTAAAACATGGCACCAATGTATGAAGTCTCTGACTGTTGGTTTAAGCCATGTAGGACGATGCAGACTAGGTGGTTGGGGTCCACGGGACAAGAGGAACCAGTGGTTGGAGACCCTAGGTGATATGGCTCAGAACCGAAGTCAGTGGCGCAGATGTATACACACATTATCCTCATCTTAACAACGCTATACCGAATCTCACTATTTTGTCACTCCTCTTTCCTTTCTTCTCGTACTTTATATTTCTTTTGACTGCATTCACTTATCTTCATCCTTCACCTCACTACCTTTTTACTTGATGTGCTGATATGAGGTGTGGCAACTCGGACCGTTACGCAGTAATGCCTGGTCCTATGTTGATAATGATGATGATGACTGTATTGGTCCATAACTTCTCGAGGTCGCTTAGTTCCAACAGAATTAAGTATTGATTTCGTGTTAGGACAAGTGTTGTTTCGACGTGGAAATCTCCACTCCACTAGCAAACTGAGTTATATTCTGGTAAAACACTACTACAAACAGACCATACTTTTAGCTTGTTTGCCCGTATTCACCAGTGGTACATAAAATGTGTATGTTAGCGCCATCGGCTATCGTTCTACAAGAGAAAACTTGATGATTAAAATGTATTGAATATTTTGAGTCTGTATTTTATCACTTAAACGTGCAGTGAGTATGATATTTTCTCTCCCTTACCTGTTATTCATGTCTTCGCTTGTTCATTGTAAAGGTTAATGCTCAACAAATGTCAGTTGCTTTGGGTCAGATAGAGTTGGAAGGTCGTCGTGTACCACTTATGCTAAGCGGTAAGACATTACCATCCTTTCCTGCCTACGATGTTCGACCACGGGCAGGAGGTATGTGTACTGCTCGATTTCTAACTTCACTTCCTCCGCAAGAACTATTTTTCCACTCAATGGCAGGTAGGGATGGTCTTGTTGACACAGCTGTAAAGACAAGTCGATCAGGCTATTTACAGAGATCAGCCATCAAGCACTTAGAGGTTAGTATGCATATTTTTCTATCGTTTATTGTTTTGTTCTTTGACCATTATCATACTGTTTTTCAATGAGTTTTGAAGACTTTTGTCATAGTGTGGAATAAGATTACCCATAATCTTCATCAGTAACCGTAAACCCCTCAACTCTTTGTCAATCAATCGTTTTATTCTGAAGTTTCAGGAGAAGGCATTTAAACCAACTTGTGAATATCAGATCGGTTAAAGACATAAAATTCAATTGGATATTTAAATCTACAAAGGCCTGGAAATAGATAAGGTCATTGTAAATATGTACATAAACCCTTGAATTTTGTATATATTTTCCACGTTGCAATACACCTTCCGTTATCTTACCGCCTTTTCTATTTATCGACAAAAGTAAGCGACCATCAACGGGGCAATGCGAAGGTTATTGTTCAAGCGTCGCATATATATATCAAGTCAGCACAAGGATATACCAAATGACAACAAGGTTATAACAAGTGGCGACGGGGTTATAACAACCTGAAATGTACATATATCGCATAAAAGATCTAATGTAGTCGTGTTGACATTATTAAAAGGAAGGTGTATGGCTAACAATACTATCTTATGTACTTTCTGTATTCCCAATCGCATTGTCAAATAATAACTTCAAATGGTGGAGAATGTATGTAGCTCAGATGGATGATCTCAGTTGTATTGTGTCCTCTGAGGTGGGTTGTTTATTTATGGAGTTTTCGTCGTCTTTCAAAATGACACCAGCATTGACTTCAGTATGAAGTGAGCTATCAATATCTCTCGGTGAGTGATTTAGTAGCCTGCCCTGACGAACTTGTTTGTGATGTCGGAAAACTGGAAACCCAACGCACACTGATCAAATCTTCAGCTGAAGTAGCAGCAATCCAACAACGCATAAAATTAGTTGCGTGCAGACTCTATTCAAACAAGCGAGAACACATTGCAGTAGAACAACTACACGGAGAAACGAAGAAAATCACTTGATGTCCATCCCTGAAGAAGAATAGATACCCACGAAACGTTGTCAGAAGATGCCTATCCCGCACACCATCAACCACAAAGCCGTCGACAGAAACCAATAAACGCATTATCCAACCGTACATAAAGAATATATCAGAAATCACGACAAGATTACTGAGACCACTTGGAATTGGTGTGGCTCCAAACACTATTATGCCGACCAAAAGATGCAACTGCTAAAGAAGACAAAGCGAATATCATTTACAAAACCAACTGAGATAATTGTGATGAACACTACATTGGACAAGGTGGTTGCCCTCTTCGCCTTCGTTTACATGAAGACCAATTGGCTATTAAACGTCATAGATGACATTTCATAACTCATTTCAATGCAGTTGGATAAGAACTGTGGACATGAATCGAATTTCGACAATGTAGAGATTTTGGATGGAGAGGGGAAACACAAAGAATGAATATCAGAGAATTCCTAGAATGTTGGTATCCGGGAAACAATCAGTCAGCAAGCAATAGATGTATAGACATAGAGTGAATCTGTTGTCAACCAATGAGGAAAGTGGTAAACTACAGAAAGAACAGAGGTGAAGAAGAGGAACAGCCAACAGGAAAATCTATGTATTGAATGACGCAACAATCGAAGGAAACAAGCAATCACAAATTAGTTCTTCAGGGTAATTTATTGAATCACTGAGGGAGAGATGTTGACAGCTGACTTCATAGTGAAGTTAGTGCTAATGATGTCTAGAAAGACGATGTAAACTCAACGACTAAACAACTCAGCCCAGAGAGCACAAAACAACTTCAATTCCAAAAGCCCTGTGTGCTAATAAAGGCAATGGTAAACCTCATGCTTCAACAACGTAGCAGTCGATACAATTTTTTTGTTTAATTGGGGTGAGGGTGGGGGGTGAAATTATGACCCGAATTAATTTTCTTGGCACAGGTTGTTCACTGAGACTTATCTGTAGTGATGACGTTAACATTATTAATAATGTTATTATGGGTGAGAATAACTCTGATGGTAAGGCATGGTATACTTTTTACTGAGTTTATTACGAAACAATCAATGTATAAGATTGTTCAAGTAATTCATTCATTGGAACGGTGCTTTCGTTTTTCCCACTTTTCATCACATGACAGGTACACAAATTTCACAAGACTACGTTACTAATTCACAGTTAAGTTAACCTCAGTTTTGACTAAACAGCACATAACCTGTCGCAATATTTCATGCATCTTAGTTACCATTCTTGTCAACCGTATAGTGAATTAATTTTGCTGTTAAACTTTAAAAACAACAACACATTACTGAATAATTCCTTTAACTAGATTTCATTTTAGCGTATTGTACTGTCGGAAAAGTCTCTCCTAGGATTTAGCTGGCTGGTATAACAATGTACGATGTTTAATGTTCAATGTAATTACCACTTTTTCCATCTTTTATTATCACAAAAATGTGCTATGTGAAGATACAGCTGATTGGCTTCGTTACTCACCTTTAAAGCAATAAGAATAGGGTTCGAATCCCTCCTCACCATCGATTTGAGCAAGTGTGACGCATAACCTAGCTGAATGCTTAGGCGTTCGATACAGACAATATTTGGACGGATATGCAAATAAGGAGCCGTGAACCTCCGGTATCTCTCAACTCTAACCGAATCACTAGTAATTAAGAAAGAAGACGGTGGAACAAGTGGAATGAGTTTACTACCATCTTGTCATGATGATGCACAGGGGGAAATCTCAAGTGGTAATATGTGATTTTCTGTTGTGACTCTGCAAATTATCCATTTAGCGTACGAGATTGAAATTCTGCGAACACTGAATTTTCTAAGATTGTTTGGGTGAAGTTTTTGGAGAAAGTCATATTTTCCAACAATGGGTAGCTAATTTTCGTAGCCAATGAAAATCGTGTAGTTCTTTTAACCTATTTGCTGTTTGCATTGTATTGTTTTTCTTAAACAACACATTATATTTAGGATTTGAGTATTCGTTACGATGGTACAGTCAGAGATGCAGGATCCAATGTTATCCAATTCCGATATGGTGATGATGGAGTCGATGTTTGTCAAGCCGCCTTTTTACAACCCACAGGATTACACTTCTTTGCTGATAATGTGAATCTTATGAAAATGCGTTGGCATTGTGACATAATTAATACTCATAATCCTGCTGTTGCTCATTTATTTGAGTTAAATCCACTTCCTAAGCCTATACAAGTAATTGCAGATCAAGTTGGTGTTAAACGAGAGAGTGTAAGTTCATATATTTATTTATGTGTATTTGGTTTCTGGGGATACTATCAACACTGCCTCATTGCTGAGACTTATTGATGCAATGTACAGCATCATAGCAAAATATCTGAGCGTTTTAAAATTTCTACTCCATTTCCTAGAGTAATCAGTTAAGTATCAAACCCATACTAAATGAGAAATGATTCTGTTTGCACGAATCGACAATTTCGTGCCAAAAAAAGGTGCATTGAAACTTTCAGGTAACACAAAATCGGCTTTCTTCAAAAGGCATTATCTTAGCCTTATAAACATTTTTGCTTTATTAATTACATGAAAATAACTTTATAAAGCGTACCTGTTTGAACAAAATTAAAACAGACCGATGAATCAACGTATAACTTGACAAAACAGGTATCATTTCAAGTTGCTACACTTAACAGCAACATGCAAACAACACGTAGTTAGAAAAAGATGGACAACATGGTATACAAAAGTAGTATGGACGGAGAGAAGATAGAAAAATAAAGATTGGTGGAAATGTTCGAACTGTAGAAGTCAGTGTCGTTGTGACTGATTTGTAGGTATGTCAATACGAGTCTTCAACCACTGATCCCTATAGGTATCTAAACCAACAATCAGAGACTACATAGATCCTTGACACGTCTTAGTTTGACCACTCATAACCTTCTTCTAACCCTTATCCTACTTTGGGTCACATTGCACATCGAAATAGGTTATGCGTGGATATGCGCAACATATGCCTAAGCCACCTCATTCGGCTCAGGATTGTTTTCTTTGTCTAATATCTTTCACCTAAGCTCGATATCGTTCACACAGTGGTTCTACTAGACATGAGAAATGCTAAGAGGGCGCCTGTCTTCAAAACCTGTAACGTCTTCATATCGTGTACTTTCAACTACCGTGTGCGTATGTGTGTGTGTGAACTGGAGCCACAGTATATCCGTTCTGCAATAGGTTGTTGAATGTTTTAGGGGCACCAGGCATAAATTGTCAAAAACTACTATGAAGTTTTGAGATATGTTTTAATTTCACTTCAGTTACGAAGGGTTTCGTCATGTCGATTCGTCGCTCAGTTCGTAAATCACCGAACCGGTAACCCGTAGGCCTGTGGTTCAAACCTTGCCGTAACCCAGGTTTTCATCTCACCTTTAGTCATCACCCCATATCAATTATGCCAGCTTGCCAAACCACGACTGTCTCAGATAATTAGAGGTATATATCTGTACAACAGTGTATCCTGGTTCATTTTTGTGGCTTCTTCGATCTGTAAAAGAATGCGAAATTATTGAAAAGACGGAATGCCATTCCAAAACTCACAATCAACCTATCTATACACTGCTGCACCCTGTAACTTACTTTGTAGAAGGTCATCACCCTAAGATATGATGAAGTTTGATAACTGTTAGTCTTGACTACTAACCGGATCTTTGACTTGGAATGTTAACTTGCAAGATGACAGATTTATTTTAGAATTCCTGATATGTAGCCTTCTTAGGCAGATTAATGACGCCACAGTCCAAAGTGTTCGCTTGTAGATTATCTTTAAAGTTGTTGTGATCGAACAGACCCACTCTTTCACTTAACTGATACCTGTAGTAAACATTACAACACAAGTATATTAAAATTGACTTATCTTCACGAATCTTCTTCGGCTATAGCGACGGAATAATAACCATCCTGTCAAGTCAAGAATTTTGTGTTCCATTTTATCTGTAAGAGACTTCATGACTTATATATGATTTCAATGTCCCTATACTGTTTTATTTCCCGAGGCGTGTATGGTTGAATTCGATAACAATTAGCAGAACTCCTGTTATCGGTACTACCTTTTGTCTGATATTCTCATTCTGCTAAATTCAGTTGAGAAAAGCCTCAAGGGAACTAGAATTGTGCTAGAATTCACGTTTTATCGGCAACATAAACACAAGGTAGTATGATGATCAATGGGTCTTTCTCAGTTCCACTGTCTTGATGTACTGTAAGGGTCTCTGGGTGTTTAATAAGAGTTATTAAAAGTATGTAAGTATAAAGTTTATTTGTATTTCAAATAATCCTCGATAAAGTAGTGAGAAGACGTTGTTTGCTACCAGCCCTACGGACTATGGATTGCCAAAGAAGGTTGCATATTGGCCTGACGAAATAACTGAGCCACCAATATGTTTAGAACTAAGGAGCTAAACAATTCGAATTCTTATGTTATCATTGATAACTTTATATTAGGTTGTTATTCATCACGAACTGACAAAAGTTGGAGAGTCATTGGAAACCTAGGAGCACTGGAAAGCTGTTTCGTCCTACTAGTATTGGACTCCTCAGCAGGGCGCATGCATGACCCGCTAGGGTTCGGACCCAGAAACCAACCTGAAATCAATAAATGTATCCTTACAGACTTCCAAGTTGGATTACTATCCAACACTTACCATTGACTTGCTTCTATGTGAGATTCCTGAAGTTCTGATGAAAAGTTGTGACCGGTCGAACGAACGAAGCCAAACATCAGGACAGGTACTTAATGACTGCGTTGGATGTAGATCCCGCTATATCATGAATTGACAGAATTATAAAAACTATGTACCGTCGAATTCCGACCTTCTGTTTCAGTGATAACGTACCGGCCATGAAACCTGAAGTCATGGGTGCACACTGGTGAGGAGTCTTAATCTGTCAAATTGTTTACAATAATTATGCTGACCGCTTTATTTTGTAACCTGATTTGAGTTAATTTCATATCTACTGCTTATTTTAGATTCTGTATAAAACTGTATCAGAGCATAGGCTTTCCAAGATTTTACACAATATTAAAACAGCTCAAAAAATCTTAGAAAAGATGAAGGCAAAGAATTCAATGTTACAAGATAATCATATAAATGAAACACTACCTGACCCACCTTGTTCTGCAGCAGCTGAATTGAGAGATTTATGTTTAGCAAAAATTATTAATGCTCAAGCTCCACCTGGTGATCCTGTTGGTTTACTAGCTGCACAATCAGTTGGAGAACCGTCTACACAAATGACTTTGAATACATTTCATTTTGCTGGACGTGGTGAAATGAATGTCACTTTAGGAATACCACGTCTTCGAGAAATTTTAATGTCTGGTTCAGCGAATATTAGCACTCCGTGTATGGAAGTACCTATTTGGCCTACTAAAGAAGCTCAACAACTTAGTGAAAAGATAGCCAAAAAATTTTACAAACTCAAGTTAACTGAGGTAATTAATGTACATACTTCACGTTTATGCTATTATAGTTATGTTTTGAATGTTATAATCCTGATAATAACTTAATATATTTTTTTTACACTTATAGGCTTTACAATTACCCATTGGACAAAAGGTCAATTATGTGTCAGATTCATGTACACTTGAATTTAATTTAAAACCGAAATCAGCATATTCAGAACATAGTAATGTAACACCTGCTCGAGTGTTACGTTTTCTTGAGCATATCCTGTTTCCAGATTTGGCTCATCGACTTAATGAAGAATTAAAAGATCAAGGAAAAACAAGGTATCCATTTGTGTTACCTAGTGTATATTTTTTTAATCAATCAATTTTGTGTATTAAACACTACGGGGAGTGGGGAAAACAGTTGTAAGCGGATTCTATGAAATCATTTGACAGTTAAAATGTACTCAACAATCACGTACACAATGCATGCAGCATAAAATGAGCCTGTTATGTTTCTGAAACTGCTTTGTGCTATGGCCGCTAGCAACAGTGCACAGATATCGAGTGTCAGCTACCAAAGTTCAACAAATTCCTAGTTGATTCCCGACCCGACTAATTAATGCAGAAGACATGATGGACGTGTAGTAACGTGTATTGGGGTCGAAAAAACCGAAGACCAAACAGCTAATATACAGATAGTTCGCTATTAAAAATAATCCTTTTGATTGGCTGATCCACCGTCGGTCTTTCTTACTATAGAAACGATAACAAAGTATATTTTGATTGGTCGCTTTCCAGACTAGACTTTTCTCTCTATCCCCATATCACCTCCTCTTCGAAAGAATGTTATTTGGGGGTCAGACTGGGCCGCACTGTCTTTTTCTTGCATCTATCTGACCGATGGAGAAAGTTTCTCCTTGTTTACTGGGGGATCAGCAGTCTTCCCGATATTCTCTCGGTAGGCAGGTGCATGAGCATGAAAATCAGCTCTCAAGCCAAGAGATTTACCTTCCGTTCGAGAATGAGATCTGCGGCGATATCTGAAGGATGACCTTTGTGCACGTTGTTGTATGTGTTGGTGGCAAAAACCGTCCTTATAAACCCTCAGCATTACAGTTTCGGCATCGATGTTGTTTATGTGGACAAGGTTTGACGAAAAAAACAGGCACCACAATGCCAACAAAGCGATGAGGACGTCTTCGAGTGTCGGTTGGTATCGCTTGAGTTATTTGGCCGATGAACAGGGAAGATAAGGCTAGGGTGTATGTGGCTAGAGGGTAATGCAGATGAATGAAATGTCTGGCGAATTGTATGTACTTCAGAGCCTCCCTGGCGTCCGAACTGGGCTGAACTCGTTTCACTCTGCAAGTTACCCAGTCGTTGATATTCTGTAAACATGTCATTCAGTGTCTAGACTGTGGCGTCGGAAGTGCGACCACGTGGGTTTTGTGGCGAAATCATATTGCAGTACTGGTCGAGCTCAGGTGGACCAAACTTTCGAAGTAGCAGACATGCCTTCCAGGAATCATCATTACCAGCAAGATTCACTTTGAAGTAGTCTTGGTAACGCCTGAACAAATCCTCGAAAGTCTCATTGACGTCAGAGTCGTAGTGAAATTCAGTGATATTATTGGCGATTCCATCAACTAAAGGAGCTATCAAAACTGGCGTAGTAGCTGATGATTCAGTACCAGAAACTTTGGATTGTGTAAGTGTCTTGACAATCCTCATTTATTGTAATAGGAAATAGTCGAACTTCGAAGAATCCATTTCTCAATATTTCATCCCCGTCGCCACTTATGTTTCCGAAACTGCTATGACCGCTAACGATGCACGGATATCGAGTATCAGTCACCAACGTTCGACAAATTCCTAACTGATTCTCGACCCGACTTATTAATGGAGAAGACACAATGGACATGTAGTAACGTGTATTTGGGTGGAAAAGACCAAAACAAAGGAAAATACAGCTAATATATATAGATAGTTCGCTATTAAAAATAATCCTTTTGATTGGCTGATCCATCATCGGTCTGTCTTACTATAGAAGTGATAACATTAAGTATATCTTAATTGGTCGCTCTCCAGACTAGACTTTTCTCTCTATCCCCGTATCAGAGCCACATCTGTTGCCTGAGGGTTAATAATGCTACGTGACTGCACAGACCTCGGTAGCTGCGGTGGGATTCAATTCCTTAATCCACTGGTTGGAATTCAAAGGCCTAGACCAAGAAACCACAGCTGTGTGGAATGGTGTCCGATTAAACCTATAAAAAATTAATTCTGGTCGATTAAATGGAATTCTCGGCTCACCTAGAGACTGCTGTATTGCTGATCTTTACCCAACTGTCGCAGTCAGTAATACTTTTAGAAAAATTAACTCTCCAATCCGTTTAAACTTTCATTGACTTTTCCATGTTTATTTTCTCACCGTAAATATTTTATGACCATTTTTACAAAATAAATGAATACTTGCATTGAAGTCTACCAAGAGTAGATTGAAACTGTTGGTTGGTTGTTAAATGGTACACTGGTCATCGTTTTCGGGACAACTGCACAATTATTATGATTATTTGTCACTTGGGTTCCTAGTGGAAAATAGGGCTTCAGTAGCACATCTCCATTTCACTCTCTTCTCTCCAGTCTTTTGATCCTGGCTCCACCACTGCTCACAAACTCTCATTTCTTCCTCACACCATCTCCTCCATGTCACCCGTAGGTCGGACGCCCAACTCGTAGTTTCCCCTTTGGGTTCCACCCGAGGGTTTGACCTGGCACATGATGTCCCTGAATGGTCTTCTCAGTGTATGTCCAGTCCAATCCATCTTCGCTTCCTTGTTGGTTGGTTGGTTGCCTGCCAGCCAGTCAGCCAGAATGAGTTCTTTGTTGCTTATTCCTATTATTCTGACCATCCGATCTTCATTATCGAGCGTAGACGGCAGCTGTTGATGTTGTATGTCTGTAGTTTGTTAGAAATGCTTTTCGTAACGCGCCGCCACGTCTCTCAACCATCACATTGAAGCACTGACTGACTTGACTGACATTAGTAGTGTTGAAAATGTGGATATTGTTCACACTTTATGCTGAGTGCAGTGCAGTGCAGTAGATCTCTACACTGATTCCAGGTTAATGAAGGAAGGCCTATGTTGCTGTGTTTTCGATCGTGGCTTTGACATCGTCATTTGTGGAGCCACCACCGCCTGTAGTTGATAGGATGGTGCCTAGGTAAAGAGGTAGGCGAATGATACCACTTCCATTATATTTCTCCCATTGATGGTGCTTGGTGTTTGTTGTTGTTGTTGTTGTCGGGTATCTTCATCACCCCTGTCTTCTCTTCATTCACCTAAAGGAAGTTGTGTCTTCCATCGCCGCCTCACCTCACCTCTTCTGCCAAGTTGTTAGTTTGCGCCTGTAGATCTTAGAGTTTGTGCTACGTAAGACATTATACATAAATCATCATCGTTTGTGAAATGAAAATCTTCTGGGGGCTTTTCATCGATGTAACCAGCGTATGCCCATCTTCTTGTTCTTTACAGTTGTCTGTTGCGTGATGCAGTCCAGTCCAGTCGACCACAATCAGGAAGAATAACTGTAAAATGAGTAGGTATAATTGATTGCTCATGAGAAGCAGTTGTATTATATCATTCGACCTACTTTGAAGTTGATTGATTCCTGGATCTGTATCCTTTTCTTGATTGGTTAATTCCTTTCAGTCGATTGGATCATATTGGATTTGACTGTCGTGAATTATTAGTTTGTAAGGAATGTTGTCAAATTGCTCTCGACTTGATTTAATCGACTTTCGCTAGTTGGACGTTATTGATTGCTCAGTATCTGCGGATTTTTTTCTAGTGACTGATAGTTGGTGTAATACATTTGATAATATTCTTCAAAACTGAACGATTTGTGATGTAACTCATATCTAATATTCTCCTGTCTAGTGGTAAAAATTAACCAATCGAGGAGTGATTAAGAACCATTAACAAATCAACTTCAAACTAGGAAGAATAATAAAGTATAGGTTTTTGATAAGGTATCAGAAACGCCCACCCGCTATAAAGTTAGATCATTGATTATGACCGGTATTTGACGGAATAACCAACAGTTTCAGCTTAGAACACCTCCATTTAGCGGTATATACTAAGTCATCATATTTTACACCAGATGCTTCAGAATAATTAACCGTGGGACTTATTGTCCTGTAAGTGTGTTTATTCAACGTGTGTAGTGCCTTAATGAGTTTAATTTATCATCTTTCTTCTGTGTAAACCTTATCATATTACGCAGATTATCCGTTTACAATCTCCTTGTTAATCTAGAACAAAAACTACTGGTTATTGGACAGGTAATATACTTCACACCTTGTTATATTCTCTTGTCCTTTTTTCTTTTAGGTTTTCGGTATTTCCTTGTATTTTCTTAAAATAAATCTAGTCTGTTGTTTTAGACGTTTTGGACTTTTGAATCTGTGGATTTATTGCCTTACGCAATCGTTTTTTTAAGCAGTGGGATTCCAGGTTTCGCAGCTCTCCATCTACTTCAACCGGTTAGTATTCGAAGTCCTCACACACTAACTTTGACTCATAGCCTAATAAATGAACAGATACTAAGTTGGCTTGTAGTACAGTAACACAAATTTTCGTTATGTTAGTTCTTTAGCGTCGTTCTGATTTCTAACCTATAGAATATAACAAAGTTATGAGTTTCTGTGGAAAAATATATATGCTGTTTTCCATTTGTGGTCAATTTCTGTGTCAGCACATTTTGTATCTTATGTATGATTCATATGTTCCATGTTTTTCATGCTCTATATATTCCTGATTTAACAGTTTTGATAAAAGCTATACAGTCTGCGGTTAAATCTGTCTGACTGACAAAATAAACGTAGGACCTCGTACACTAGTACATAGGCATAAGTTGATAGACTTCACAGTAGTATGCAAAGACACTGTAGACAAAGTAGTGTGAGAGAACAAACAATCTGAAGACAACGAATTCCACAAGTATTCAAGCTTTAGATGCTAAGCAGTGAATACATCTGTGCCATTGTGGCCGATTTACAGCCATGTCATCAAGAATCCTCACACCACTGATTCGTTTGTGTCTCAGGTACCCCAACCAGGTAGTTTGCTTATCGCGACGTGACTCAAGACAACAGTAAGAGACTTCATCGACTGATGCCACATCTTGGTCTGGTCATTCTAAACCCTGTTTCAATTTAATTCGAAATCCCCCAACCAGCAGAACATTTTGAGGTGGGTGGCGGCTAGACATGCCCAACACATGTCCAAGCCATCTCAGTCGATTAAAGTTCACAACCTCATCTATCTATTTGCCAGTCTTGTGTAGTACTCTTCGTCAGACCTCAACATTGGTCATGCAATGATTCCACCTGATGCTAGAAATGCTGCGAAACCCTGTAACCGCTGCAGGTCTTCTACTTTTAACGGCCATGTCTCACGGCTGTACAAAAGGACAGAACGGACTGCAGTGCGGTATACTCGTCGTTTGATAGATAGTCGGATATCTCACTGGTGCCATAGATTTCTCAGATTTCTCCTCAAGACCTTCACAAGATGCTGGATTTTGTTAGCGTCTTCACTCAGCTGGACAATATCGTCTGCCTACTCCGAGTCAACCAGATGACCTCTAAGGAGTAGGTAAACGCCTGTGAAGTCAGACATACCTAAGGTTGTTTTCATTGGTAAATATATGACGAAGCTAAATAGGAACATTAAAAGGGAACATTAAGGGGCATCCCTGACGAACACCACTGCAGTTAAGTGATTTAAATAAGATCTCATTGATCAGAACCGATTTACTGTACTGGTCTCAAAGTGAATAGGAGCATTTCATGCATAGCATGGTGAATCAATGATCGCAATGATATAGACGTGTTCAATTTTTACTCAGTAAACTGTCAACATTTTACTATCGTACTACTTGAATGGGTGTTTTTATTGTGCATTCATCTTGGTGACTAGCAGTGGAATCCAGGACGCTCGTTTCGTCTTGTAGGGAACTCGTCAGCTGAGTGTATCTGCCCCTTGGGGAGTGATGTTGTCCCCACTGAGACTCGAGTCCAGTACTTACCGTCTCAAATGCCAAAACGTTATTCACTGGGGCACAAGAACCATCCATTACGCATCGGTTATCAGTCGTTATTTGATCCTTGTCCATTTCATGTTTTTTCCTAAGTATCACAACTAATAAGTCGTTCAGTATTCAACTTTGTTGTTGTCCACATAAGTGTCCTTTTGCAGTTAGTAATGTGTTCTAATTTTTTTTTCAATTTCAAGCCTTATAAAAAGTTTTGCTTTATCTGCTATGGCTCGTGAACAACAGCGGAGTAGTCGTGCAAAGGATTCTGTAGAACCTGGTGAAGATAATGACAAAGAGATTATGGATCAACAAATCACAAGTCGAACTCGTCCACAAGATGAATGGAATGAAGATGATGGCCATGAGGTAGGATAGAAAAAAGTCGTTTCACGGTTTGCGTTTTCTATGTCGACTGAGATTTATTATTTGTGGAGCTGGAACTCATAGATTTAGGCAATTGCCTTTCATCATCGAGTCCTCCTTCACCTATTGAGGTTTAGACAGCCGAGTAGTACTGTCATTAGCCCTCACACAGTGGGTGTGGCTCATTGCCTACTTCAAGAATGTGCACAAGATTGTTGAGTGCATTTCTATTCTGTTATTTGACTGATTAGTCCTTATATGGACTATTTAAAGAAATAAGATAATCGCAAGTTTTGTTAACCTTTTTTCAAGTTGACATTTAACATGGACTGACATCAGTTGGAAGAATATTGGAAACCTAGAAGCACGGGACAGCTGTTTCGTCCTAGTATACGACTCTTCAGCAGTGCGCACTCACGACCTCGCCAGGTATCTAACACAAGACCTTCAGGTTCCTTGACCAGCACGGTACTATTGAGTCACTGGGTGGGAATCCATTGGTCCATATTTCCAACTTCTGTCAGCTCACGACATAGCGCATCCATCACCCAATGTTCACTTGACAGAGATATCAAGTTCCATTCAAGTTGATAGCAGTATTTTTGGAAACATGCTTTCAAATGTCCGTTATTGTCACCTGGTTTCCCAGATGTGGTATTGTATATATGGTGTATACAGGATCTTCATACTTTCACTTAAAGTGATAAGTCGCTTTGATGAAGATTACTGTTGGACATGAGTAATCCATGTTGTGTTGTGTATTTGATCATTGAGATTCACAACTTCACCACACTGTATGCATATGTCCCAACCTACCAACCAGTATATACGGATCGTAGAAGGAAATGATAAGAATCACTTTTTCAATCACCGTCTGAGTTTAATCTGATCATATGCATGATTTAATTGAATTAGACTTTATACAGATTACTAACCTTATATGCTGTAGGCGATGAGCCAAATCTATTGTGTGAAAGTGAATGATATCAGCTGGTTACCTTAGACCTCGGTAAATGAAATAGGATTCGAACACGTGACCCAACAGTTGATAGTAAAGTATTGTGAACAAGGAGCCACAAAATCCGCTGACCTTATGTTTACAGAATAAATTTTCATTAATAGCCTAATCTTCGAACTCGTTACACGTAATATTCAGTGATGCATCTCTTTGACAGGTGTCGCGATATAATCAACACGAAAAATAAACAAACTTATTTTACCGCCTATGTGAATGAATTTATCTCTGACCACTTTGATTGTTATCCTCCTCTTCTTTTAGAAGCATAAATAATTTCCCTGTTTAGTCCTGTTTGACCATAGTTTTGTAAAGAAACGACTTCATCGATATGTTTGCCTTTTTTTCTAGGCAGTCAGACGTCGACGTCTTGAAGCAAATGCTGAAGAAGACGATTTTGATGTAGATGCTAATCGTCGTAAACAATCAAATGATCTAGATGAGTTAGTTGACTTGGACTTTGGTGATGAAGATGATGCTGAAGCAGCAGAATTGCATGAAATTGGACGTGATCAGGATAAAGATGATGCTGATGAAGAACAAGAAGAGAATAGAGATTGGTTGTGGAATGAATTATCTCCATCTAGTAAACTAAAAAACTTTTGGAAAATCCTCTTGGATCTGGAAGAAAAACATCTGCTTCAAAAGATACAAATCCCGATGAATTCGTCCAGTGGACTGGAGATCCTGATTCACATCAATCGGACGTAGATGAACAAGAATTAGTTCAAGAGAGTGTTGTACAAAGTGCAGAACAGGATAACGCTATAGGTCAAGATGAAGTTCATAAACGAACTATGGTAATTCTTGTTTTACTATTCACACACTAGTGTTAACCAATGCATAGTCTTGCATTCATTTCTAAGCTTTCGTGTGTTATATTCCACGACTGAAATAAACAGTCGAATTTAGATTGATTGCAGACTTTTTAAACAAGTGTCCATTTCTGGGTCTGGTTGTCCTTACCTTTTCACCAATCCAAACAGAATTCAAATAAAATTGTCCGTTGAGCTGAGCTATGGCTTGGTGTGCTCACCTCGAATCTCCATCATTTCATTTGATGATCACGGGTGACTTTAAGACTGACTTTAAAGGCTACCCTAGCAACAAGTGAAATAACCAATCAGATTTCTCTGTTTTATGAAAATTTACCTTTCCAACCGGAATAAGGAAACCTAATTGGTTGTCTCAATCGTTGCTAGCAACTGAAGAGAAAAGTACTTGTTTAGGCGAAACACGAAAGCTTGATTGGTCATTCCAGTTGTTGCTAGGGTGGCTTTTAAAGTCGCCCCACCAACTTAGTTACCTTTTTTATCTGCGATTCTGTGCCCTACCTGTACAGTATTCAAGAGGTGATTCGAAAACATATGAGTGCTATTATGAAGACAACAGTAGTTAAATACCTACAACCTTCTCAAATTATGCATATGAAATAGGCATATCATCATGGTTATATATTAGTACAGAGCAAACTGCTGCACACTACACTAATCCTTTACTAGGCAATATGATATCTCACCGACCCCACAGTAGGTGTCAGCTTGACTAATGTCAGTTAAATTTTCTGCATCCTTACAGTGATTTCATCGGTTGTCAATTAGGTCATCAAAGTCGATCCGACTTCCTAAGTTTTCAACCACTTCATTCTTTGCTTCTAAGCAAGTTATTCACTTATATCAGCGCTGAAGTAACAGTTTATATTCGTGAGATAAGAAATGCATTCTAAACATTTTATACTTGTTGGTTAGTGTCCAGATGACTTTGTATCTTATCAGCATCTGCACCTAACACGACTATGTCATCTACATACTTTAAGTTTACTAACGAGACTCCTGTGACAAAGTCAATATCTATACAGTCAGACGAAGAGAGTGAGAACTCCATAAGTATGTATGTGATAAAAATAGGAATAAAAAGAGACAGAGAGGAGATACTTAACGGACACCACTGGACTTACGCAACTCACCTTATACCTCACCATAGTGTGTAACACGGCCACGGATGTTCAATTACACCACCTTCAACCGAATGGTGTACTTACTCGCCACGCCCTTCAATAACAGATGATTCCATAAAACATTGTAGCGTCGATTTTGATCTCCTTTATTCGGCATTCTATTAACGTGTGTTATTTAGCATTCAGGATGCTGCATAACTTCCAATTCTTTGCTCCAATCCTATATTTTTCACTCTTATACTCGGCAAAGGTTAGAACAGCTCCCGACATTTTTCAGATAATTATCTTTTCTATCAGTTTTTATACAAGGTTCATGAGTAACTTACTTCATGAATATATCGATATCAGTATGCGTCACCAAACGTATGTCCAAGGCTGTACAAGTTTCTTTTGTGCATATAATCCTAGTTTCTTCATGCATATGGCGAGAGCTTCTACAGTACAGAGAAGGCGAAGACACCATTTTTAGCAAACTTCTTTTCACCTTGTAGATGACTTTAATTACTGAATCAGTTGTGATGCTGTAACCAGTGTTGACAAAGTGTTCGATTATTGCACTTCTGATCGATCCACTTGGACACTTTTGCAGCCAGTTAGGGTAATGTTCCCTAACTCGTTTAGAAACAATGGACATCGAACAACCTACATACCTGGCTTCATAGGAGCAGGTAAGTTGATAGACATATATGGAAGCTTATCTTTAGGATTGGCAGAAAGCATTGGACAACTAGAGAATTCCGCTATTTAGATGCATAGACAATAAAAGTTAGTTATGTTTCTAGAGCTTACAGCTGATATCCGACTCATGGATTTAATCCAACGCTGGAATTATATTAGAATATACTCTTATAACGTTGATCTTCCTGATTGGGGTCGACTGGATCATGCAGCAAACAGTGAGGAGCGATAAGACGGGCATATGCTGGACCGATGAAAAGAGCCTAGAAGATTTGGATTTCGCCGATGATTTGTGTCTAATATCGCACAAACTCGAAGATCTGCAGGCATAAACCAACTAGTTGACAGAAGAGGGAGGGCAGCGAAAACGGGACTTCAAGTGAATGCAGAGAAGACAGAGTTGATGAAGATGCCCTAACAACAACAAGTACCCATTACTATCAACGGGAGAAATGTAAAGAAAGTTGTCTCTTTCAACTACCTCTGTACCTAGGAAGCATCGTTTCAACTACAGGCAGCGTCAGAGATCAGGATGTCAAAGCCAAGGTCGGAAAAGCAAGATAGACTTTCAATAATCTGAAATCATTGTGGAGATCTACTGCACCACACTCAACACAAAGCGTGAACAACATCCAGATTTTCAACACTAATGTCAGTCGACTCAGTGCTTCGATGTGACGGTTGAGAAAAGCATTTCCAACAAACTACAGACATACAGCATCAACAGCTGCCGTCTACGCTCGATAATGAAGATCGGATGGCCAGAATGATAGGAATAAGCAAGAAGGAAGTCATTCTGGCGGACTGGTTGGCAGGCAACCAACCAACCAACAAACCATCGTCAAACAAATATGCGGAAGAAAGTGGGCATCGATTGGATTGGGCATACACTGAGAAGACCATTCATGGACATCACATGCGAAGCCAGAGCCTCGAGTCCAACCCAAAGGGGCTTCGACGAGTTGGGCGTCCGACCTGAGGGTGACATGGAGGAGATGGTGTGAGGAAGAAACGAGAGTTTGTGAGCAGTGGTAGAGCTAGGATCAAAAGACTGGAGAGAAGAGAGTGCAATGATGACGTGCTACTGAAGCCCTATTTTCCACTAAGAAGCAAATTGATAAATAATACTAATAATAATATAGTAATGATTAAATCAGACTCGGCACTCAAATTCTTCAAAAACATTCGTAATAACTATGGACTGAATGTTTATAGATGTATCCTTAGGTTTACTGACGCAGAACTTATGTAGCTTTGTTATTTATTGTAATATAGTAATAGCTTCATGAAAACAAGCTTTTGTACGAGGGTTTCAATATTTCTAGTAACCAGCTAAAGTATTTATTCATCTCGCTTTTTCTCAAAAGTATGTTGAAATCAGTAAATACGCACGCACGCACGTGTTTGTGTTTGTGTGTGTGGTATCGTTTTGCTCGTATCCCTGATATTTCTTTGACAAATCTTATATATTTGGATAGTGTAATTAGAAGACGTAGATTATCTGGAAAATGTGATGTATTAGCGCTATACATTTCGAACAATCTGATCACACATTTACTTGTTAAGGCATTATATATGAAAACTGGAAGTGGGGGAAGGACACATATGACATAAAGGAATTCAATAATAAGAAGGATAATGAGAGGAATAAAAGATAAGACTTGAAGACAATCTTGGTAATACGATAAAATAAGCATTACCAAGGTAAGCTTAATGTAAGGACAAACTGTTTTTGCACACACAATGGGGAGTTAAATTTATTTATGTCTAGCGCCTCAACAAACTTAAGTATACGCCCCTGACAGTTTCTGTACAAAATTGTAAAGGCTGTCATATATAACGCCTTAACAAGTAAATGTGTGATCAGATTGTTCGAAATGTATAGCGCTAATACATCACATTTTTCAGATAATCTACGTATTCTAATTACATTATCCAAATTCATAAAAGGGACTAATTATTTCAAAATCTTATATAGTAATATTGTTTGTATCATTTTTCTTTTTGCCTTTTATATCATTAGTTCGTCACCAATTTACACGCTCGTTTTAGTGGTTATGAATTCGACCGGAAAAATGCATCACCAAAATGGGCACGCCTTACAATTTGTGTAAGTTTTGATCTTCTCTTCATTCTCGATTATCATATGATGAGTCTTTTTTCTCCTCCGTTTAATGGTTCGCTTTTATCGTAGTTTTCTAGTTACTTTGGTTTCAATTGGTTGGAAGCATATTTCAAATAGGGTGATCAATTTACAAATGATTAGAAAAATGGGCGGTCTACGTTGAGTTTACCCATAGTTAATTAGTTTTTCAGCTGTCCATTGGAAACCATCGGAAGCCAAGATCACAATTTATAATGTCTGACAAATAAGTGTCAAGAACTAACGAATCCCTGTTGAAACCTCACTTGAGCCAGTTGTGAAGCCACTCAACTGTCAGAAATGTCGACGTGGACTGTGCAATTTGTAAACCTTTTGTGATCATTATATTTCAGGCATGCTAGTCCATGCAAGTCAGCTCTTTGGGCTGAATTTTCCAGGGTACACCGTTTATGAGCTCAGCCCCAAACAAGCGAAACGGCTGTCTGGTGTTTATATCTGGCTGACTGGCGAAGTGTACAGATCAGCCTGACTGACCACTCAAGTTGTTCAGTAGTAGTATCTCTCGCCAGAAGCATAGTTCGTTTTGATAATAAATCAATTTCCGTTTTTCGTTGTTTCCTATGGCGCTCTTTGTCACCTATGTATCTCACCCAAGTGTATTTACGCATTTGATCTCACCTAGTCAGTGTGGTGAATGCGAGAAATTCACCTGACGAGTATGCAGAGGTCCGGTGGCTAGTTCCGATTGACGGGCTGATGTATTTAAAGCATTGAGTTGCAGAGCAGAAAACGCATTTCCCTACTGGCTACGAGTCGATAGCCCACTATGCATTATCTGACTGAATGGATTTGTTTCGCCTAGAAAATACGATGATATCCATCGATATCTATTTGTAGTCTCCACCTATGCACTCACCGATTACAATTCGATAATGCAAAGGATGAATTCTCGTAAAAGCTAGTTGCCATTGACTTCAACTCTTAAGTAAGGAAGCTGAATCGATCCGCAAGGCATCATGAATTTGTCGATGTTGTTTCAAGTGAACGAACGAACGTACAACGGTGATCATCTCGTACAATCTTATTCCTAGATTCACCTGTTTCTAGCCAGCTCAAACATCAAATATAAAGATAAACACTATCTTACTTCGGTCTAACCACACTAAAAAGCGAAAGCAGTTTTCATATAAATTGACTAAGAGTCGTCACAATGATCAGTAGCAGTGGTGGACGATGCAAGCAAAGATGATAATAGTTAGTGAAAGAATCATCGAAATGAATGAAACCGTGATAGTTTCTCAGGACTGTTGACTAAAGCATCAAACTGAACACTTTGCTGCACAGTCCAATTGCCCCACGGTAATACTTCAGTTATCTAACCTCAAAATAAGTAGGACATCGGTGTTATTCCTTTAAATATTTTCGAAATTGAGAGAGCTGTTTCAAACATGAAATAATGGGACGAAGCAGGACCTGACGGTTTATTATCACAGTTTTATAAGGAAGGTGGTAGAAAATTACTGAGTAGAGTAATGGAGTTACTACTACAGGTCAGAGGTGGACCCCTCACGCACTAGTCTAGCTTGCTGATGATTTCAATTTATAAGAAATGTGAGCAGTCTTTTTGTGACTAGCATAGTGGAATTCATTTGACTAACATAATATGCTAATCTGAACTCTCTACTTAAACTAATACAGCTGTGTAGTCCCTTATTGAGAGTTTTCATCGAAAGTGATGAGTATATACAGTGGTAGTGTCTCTGACTGCTGCACTGGGTGATATGGGTTTGAATCTCATGCAAGGCGTCATTTCCACCGAGGTTACAGATACGCCTTACCGTTTAATTGTATTGAATAATTACCTCTTTGGAGTAGAGCTTGTGTTTCACTTAATGATATTAGCGAAAGACCTAATTACTTATCGAAATAAAAATTTGTGAAAAATGTATTTTTTCAATCAACTCGAGATTTTTCTCCAAAATAATCAATAGATGATGTTTTTGTTGAATATTATTATTATTATTTGTCTCTTGGGTTCCTAGTGAAACATAGGGCCCCAGTAACACGTCGCCATTTCACTCTGTTCTCTGCAGTTTTTTTTAAATCTGGCTCCACCACTACCCATAAACTTTCATTTCTTCCTCACACGATCTCCTCCATGTCACCCTCGACTTGGACGCTCAACTCGTCGTTTCCCCTTTGGGTTCCACTTGAGGGCCTGGCGCGTGATGTCCTTTGTTGAATAACGCTGCGAATTATTAAACTTTTCAAATACAACAATTGCGTCATCATCTCCTTTAGATATTACTGAGAAGAAGCTTAGCCGTTGAAGCCATCAGTCAAGTCATTTTCATTTGCATATAAAAGTCGTAAAGATTATTGATAAAAGCGTCATCAGTTTCTCTTAAATTTTCATAGTAAGCCAGTTAAAAGGATTGAGTGCAGTTCAATAATGAAAAATTAGACTGGTAAGGTGGAGGAATATCTCTTATGGAGATAAGATGCAGTAAGGTAGCGGGGATAAAAAGAAGAGAAAAGCATATCCCTATGGTAAAATCTTTACACAAGTTAATACCATTGTAAAGAAGCTTGTTCACTCAATAAACTTGCCTACTTTCACAGTCAAGCGGCGCTTAAGCTGAAATCGCAAGTGGACAACGGTGAGTTTCATTATTCGATTTAGTCTTTACTGTCCCGTCCAGCTGAATGGCTGAAATTTAACTGTTAATAGGGATCCGGTCGACTAGTGAACTTTCTACCCTAGTGATTAGTGTTATGCTTAAACCTGCAAGACTGCAAGAACTAGCCGTCGAATGTCCAGAAACTCGATGGGGGGATTTCGCGGATTTACTATATTGGTCGAGTGGGGTTTAGTGAATAACCGCACTTGGGTCCTGTATCTGTGTCTCAAAACCACAGCACACTTCCACGACCCTCGATGCCAGACTTTTGGTTAGCGAAGGTTGTTGGTTGATTTGGTGGAGGGTTTGGACATTGAAAGCTCCAATTTGTAGTCTGGGGCGCGGTTTCAGGAGATCGGTGGTGCTATTCTGTGAACTCAGATTTTTATGGCGAGCTGCAGATCCGGAAGAAGTTAGAAATAATATAGGAATGTTGGTCGAGAGGTGTAAAGGAAGATTAGGGAACAGTGATTTGGTAAATAGATAGTGATCTGAGGGAACTTAGGTGCTGACAAAGTTGTCAGGGTGGTTGATACTTCCTGGCTTTTCACACTTTGGAAGGTTAGTTCTCGTTGAAGTAACCTGATAAGGGGGAGGAGGAGTGTGATATTTTCGGAGATGACCTCTTTTTATTCCCCTTTCCATAGGAAATGTAGCATCAGCATAACACTGCTGGTCATTCAAGCAGAACACCTTACTGCTATCACGCCCCTCATCTAACTAACAATACGACTTCGCCATCGAACCCCATCATAGCGTAAAAACTTAAGCCATAACGGTAGCTGCCATTTACCATACCATTATCCAGCAGACCTTTCTGGCATGATAGAACCTCAAGGAAATACGCATTCGACCAACACAGCTCGTTGCGTCATTGTGATATGCAGTCCTGACCATCATGTCAAAGTAGCTTGCAGCTACTGACCATTCTTCCCTAAGTACTTAAATGACACACTGATGACATGAGTTGGCGAATGACAAACTGACTTTTTTCCCAGCTAAAATATCGTCAGCAACCAACCCACTTAGATTGATAGAATTTTCTGAGAAAGTGGAGGGTTTTACGCATTCTACCACTCCACTTTTCATGCTTATAATAATAGTCGATGTGGACCATTTGAGCAAAATCACTTTGTATTTCTCAGGTGCAAAACGCATGTCAAACATATTCAGATTTCAAAGTACTTTGAATTTTCCCAGCGTTTTCATCTAGTACGACAATGTTATCCCATGTATTCAACCAGGTCCCGTCCACGGAATGAAACTTGAGGTACTTTTTTGTATAGTTTATTCCTCGACTTTATCGTACATATGAGAGTTAGTAAATAAAGCAATGTGTGATATCAATAGCACTCTTCTCTCCATTAATAGAAAATTGGATCAGTGAATATTGTTATTTTTGGTGAAGGTCTTCCTTGACATCAGATAAGGATGGAAATGATTGGTGGTTATTTGTGTAGCGTAAATTGTTATTGTCACTGATCAGTTATGCAGAATACTGAGTAATCGCATACAAGTGTACATATTTTGTCGCATGTTTTTGCCATTAAATAACATACGAATCAGTAGAATTGTAGATTTTAAAGCTAACTTTAAACAAACAAGTAGCTGAAGAAGTTATGGCATACACAGCAAAAACGTTCAGAAAAATCTTGTTTCCGGTTTTCTAAACACGCTAGGATTATATAAAAACTTACCTATATAAACAAGTAGTTTTCGTATTCTTCTATTCATTTTCATGTGGTATCACTTTTTGATCAGATGTTCGATCCAAGCGAAGGACGTATATCAATCGATTTGCAGACATTAATTATGCGCCTTATCAATCGAAGTGTTGTCTCTTCTGTTTGCGGAATTGAAAAAACTATCATCGATCGTTCGAAGCCTGATCAGTGGATGTTTCGTGTTGAAGGTATCAACATGATTGTAAGTTTTACATTCTATTTATCTTTACTTACTTTTGTCATAACTAATCAGTATTTTGAAATGAGGTTGTGTGTGTTGTACTTCCCGGTATTGTGTATTATGAATTCTGGATTATAAAATCATCCACTTGCTATTTACGCATAAGTATTATTATTGTTATTATTCAGGCTAGTATTCGTAGTGGACTGGCATCAGTTGAAGAACCACTGAAAGCCTGGGAGCATTGGACATCTGTTCGGTCCTAGTATGAAGTTCCTCAGCAGTGTGTACCCATGACCTCGCTAGGGATCGAGGCCATGATCCTAAGGCTTCGCAGCCAGTACGTTACCGTTGAGCCACTGTATCGGAATCCAATGGTTCACAGTTTCCTACTTTGTTCATTTCTGGATATAGTGCGACCTATATCTAATCCCATCGTTCAGTATTTCTCCTCAAGTCCGATTTGATTTACTCCATCGGTCAAAACTTTTTATTGGAACGTTGAGAAATCTCATCTGGATGATAATTCAGTTTAGAGGTTTGTGGGGATTTATTGATTTCAAAGAGGATATTGATCATGGAGTAACATCAGTTGTGCAGCCATTATTATTAGTGGTATTCCACTTACTGATACAAGAGAAAGCTCTATTTCTTCATTACATTCTCCGTAGTAGACTGGTGAATCACTTACCGAGTACTTGCCATCTCTTTACCTCATAACTTGGTTAGACATCTAGGTTGTCAATGCAGATTATCCAGAATTCTAGATTTTAAACAATTATGTACGTTTATATACTACTTATGAGTAGTAAGAAGAAAAATGCATGTATTTCGTGCTATAAAGTGTTTGAATAATAAATCCGTGGTCATAGTTTCCATCAGTTTTGTAAGTTATGTTTCGAAAATAAGCGAATTTTACACTACTTATTAAAAAGCAGCGGTCTTTCATTTGGTGATGGCACAGGAGTGGTTTGCAAGTACTCCCAGTTTATTGATAGGATGTGAAGTGGTGGAATGTGTCGACCACCTCACTTACTTAGGGAGCTGCAACAACCCGAACTGGTTGGTTAACGAAATCTCAACTCGGATAAATAAGTCTCGTTTGCCAAATTGCATCGTCTGCGGCGCCGACTGTCCAGACACCTGACTATCAACCAAAGGACGACTATACTGCGCTGCAGTTTGTTCTTTCTGTGAGACATGAAGCGGTCACAGGGTTTCGATCATAGGTGTCTTTGTAACAATGCTTAGGTCAGGTGAAGGGTACTAGGCAAGGCAAGAGGTTGTGAACCTTAATGGATTGAGATGGCTTAGACATGTGTTGCACATACCGAGTGACCACCAACCTCGATTTGCCATGCTGGTCGGGGAAGTTGGAATAGATTAGAAAAGAGTTCAGAGTGGTCAGATCAAGGTGTAGTGTTAGTCCGTGAAGTCTCTATCAGTTGATCTGAGTCGTATGGAGGAGATGTCGACTATCTGATGGAAATCTCCAAAATGATAGGGATCAGTGAGTGAGAACTAACCCTTGCTGAAATGCCTGTAAATCGATCACAATGGCACAGATGTATTCACTGTTTGACGCCTTCTAAAGTTTGCATAATCCGTTATCTTCGAATTCTTTATTCTCTCACATACAACTCTGTCAGATTTGATATCACGCTTATTCTATCCACCTGTTCTTTGTGTACTACTGGTAAGTGTATCAAGTTGAACCGATACACTTGTGTGATATGTTCTAAGTTGATTTTGTCGCTCTTTCATTTAATAATGGGAGATGATTGTATGCGTAAGATGAAAACCTGAACTGCCCCAACGTTCTAACCTGCGGTCTCCATATTGAATTATACATAAAACATGAACGCTTAAATACAATTTGAATTACTCATGTTGGTCTCTGAAAGCGAATGTGCATTGTTTTGGTCCTTGCTTAACCCTCAGTGAGACTAAGACCCTTACAGTGCTCAGTCCCACTGTAATCAGTCAGTTAATATCAGCATGAAATTTGATGTTCCCAGTTAACGACTCAGGTTGTTATACTTCACATCAGGACATCAAAGGGACGAGAAGAAAGTCGGGAACTGAAAGTTATGTAATCAAAGGTCGTAAAAAGTCATAAGCGAAGACAGACAGACAAAATCACACACAAGTAGATCGCTTCAAGTTGCAACACTTCACCATAGTTTACAAAGAACAAGTGGATAGAAAGAGAGTGATATCCAACTAGATAAAATTGTGTGTGAGAGAATAAACAATTCGAAGATAACGAATTACGCAAATATTCAAACTGTAGAAGGTGTCACTGAGTGAATACATCTATGCCATTTTGATCGATTTACAGGCATTTCAGCAAGAGTTAGTGCTCACTCACTGATTCCTATGATCTCGGAGACTTCGATCAGATAGTTGATATCTCCTCCACACGACTCAGACCAGCTGTCAGGGACTTCATCGACTAATGCTACGCCTCTCCCTCTCTCTTCCAATCTATTCCAACTTCCCCTACCAACCTCAAACGTTGAGGTAGGAGGTGACTTGATTAAGATTTACAACCTCTTACCTTGCCTAGTACCCTTCACCAGAGTTAGGCATTTCTCTCACGGTGGTTCCACTACAATAAAGTAATGTTACGAAGACATGTATGATTGAAACCCTGTAATCGCTTCATTTCTCCTACTATTAACAACCATGTCTCACAGGATAATGAAGTGAGATGTGTTGATTTAGATGCATCTACATCAATAATATCGATTTTAAGCCGTATAAATCCGTAGTGATATCAACTGTTTGCGTAGAAAGGTGTATTTATTAGCAAATATGATGCGAAACTTGCTCAATTAAGGAAATCTACATTTTTATTTGTTTTTTTTTCTCTAAACTAAAATAAATAAAAATTGTGTTAATTTGACTTTTTTCGAGTTCAAATATGTCATTTAATTTTTCTCTTCATTCCATTTTCTACAGGAAATGATGCGTTATCCAGATGTGTTCGACTTAAATCGTTTATATACCAACAACATTACTATCATGAATGAAACGTACGGTATTGAAGCTGCGAGAGCAGTCCTTCAACGAGTAAGTATAATGATTTGTTTTTATTGTTAACTTCTTTATGCTTATTGGGTTTTCTTTTCTCTTCCTAATGTTGTTACTCGATGTAATATGGTGCAAAATTATCGTATAACAGAATTTTCATAGATCAAACGATAGCAGTTTATGCAAGTCAATATTTTACCCATCCTCCTCTTTAGGTTTTTCATTTATTATTTATTTTCCCTTTGGATTCCTAGTAGGCTTCAATAGCACGTCTCCATTTCACTTTGTCCTCTACAGTCTTTTGAACCTGACTCCACCACTCCCCATAATCTTTCATTTCTTCTTCTCCATGTCACCCTCGACTTGGATGCCCAACTTGTCGTTTCTTCTTTGGGTTCTACTGGACGATTTGGCCTAGTCTGATACGTGATGCCCCCGAATGGTCTTGTCAGTCTATGTTCAGTCCAATCTAATCCATCTCCACTTTCTTCTGCATATTTGTTGGATGATGGGTTGTTGGTTGGTTGCCTGCCAACCAGTCATCCAGAATGACTTCTTTGTTGCTTATTCCTATCATTCTGGCCATCTGATCTTCATTATCGAGCGTAGACGGCAGCTGTTGATGCTGTATGTCTGTAGTTTGTTGGAAATGCTTTTCGTAACGCGCCGCCACGTCTCTCAACCATCACATTGAAGCACTGACTGACTTGACTGACATTAGTAGTGTTGAAAATGTGGATGTTGTTCACACTTTATGCTGAGTGCAGTGCAGTGCAGTAGATCTCTACACTGATTCCAGGCCTGTCTTGCTGTGTTTTTGATCGTGGCTTTGATATCGTCATTTGTGGAGCCACCACCGCCTGTAGTTGATAGGATGGTGCCTAGGTGAAGAGGTAGGCGAATGATACTACTTCCATTATATTTCTCCCGTTGATGGTGATTGGTGTTTGTTGTTGTTGTTGTTGTCGGGTATCTTCATCACCTCTGTCTTCTCTTCATTCACCTGAAGGAAGTCCCGTTTTCATTCACTACCTCGCCTCTTCAGCCAACTAGGATTTTCAGTGAATTGTTATAATTTTATCGCGAACTGACAGAAGTAAACAAATATTGTCCATTGGATTCTGACCCTATGGTTTATTGGTAACGTGCTCGCCAGAGAAACTAGTGACAGTTTGGGATCTGTCACTTTGTGAGATTATTTGTTTAGATTCATATATTACCATTTTTCTTAATGTTATGTATACCATCATGCTTTATTCATAAGAGGAATTGGAACTATAGTATATTTTTATTATTTCCTTTTTAGGAGGTATCTGGTGTATTCAGTCATTATGGTATTCATGTGAACACCCGACATTTATCCTTAATTGCTGATTATATGACAAAATTTGGAGTTTATAATGCATTCAATCGACGTTCAATGAGTGCACACCCATCATCATTGCAACAAATGACTTTTGAGACTGTAACCACTGCTCTGAGAAATTCACTACAAGATGGTAATTTTTCCGCCTTCTAGAACTAATCTTTGTATTCTGTATCATACTAGATTATCTTTGTCGCATATTCTGTATATCGTTATCTTCACTACTTCTCAATGGAGAATAAAATTAGGTGTTGAGTCAAAAGCTGGACCGAAGTTGACCATTTGTGAAATTCATAAGCTGCGAAATTCTTTTTGAAATTTATACTGATGTGTACGTTTTGCCAGTCAGCCAGCCAGATCAAACTGATCTAAATACCGAACGGCCGTTTCTCTCGTTTTTCGGACTGAGCTCATCAGTGGCATATCTGGATGAATTCAGCCCATAGAGGCAAATTATTTCAGATCAGGTGAATCCGGCCGACTGACTTGCATAGATCAGTATATCTAAAATAGGATGGAAATTCTTCTGTTTGCAATTTCTTACTCTTCTAGTCGATCGAAGCGAAGAAAAACATTCGAAACACTCACCAACCTTGTGCATGTTCATGCAGTAGGCAATGAACTACATCTTTCCTTCAGCTTTACTATCTGAAACAGTGCAGTTAATTTGCTTTTTGTGTCTAGTGCATCAAAGACTCTGTATTTACGGCAAATTCTCTCCCATGAATCAAAATACTTGAATGAGATTTTATTATAATAGCCATTTGCTTTCATCTTAGTTACCCTTAAACAATGTTCTAAATGGATGTGTACTATCTGAAAGTTCAAGCCTTATTCTAACCATGGTACACTAACATTAATTATTGCGAAACATGCAAGAAGGTAATTGGAACTACCGTAAGCGTGTAGACTGTTGCCACTTCCTGGCTGCTCATACCGTGGAAGTTGTTTCTGCAGGGTATCTGAACGAGAAAAAGATTTGTGTAATCACAGAGCCCATGTGACATCTACTTGAAGCCTTTCAATTACAGCCTTTTGATGATTATTGGTGTGAGATTTAATTATTCTATCGCCAGAAAACTCATACCGCCGGCACCCGAAGACGTGGGTGAGGAAGGAGTATGCTGTTTGTAGAGACAACCTTCTCTAACCTACCCCTTCCCATATGCGTTGCTGTCATATCCCGTCCAACCAGCATTACGATTGCGCTCAAATCCCCATCATAGTATAGCTGCTTTTCATCTTACCACTATCCAACAGACCTTTTCGGTATGTCGGTACCGTTCCAACCAGTGTAGTTTGTTGGGTAATTGTGATATGCAAGCCTGATCACCACCTGAAGGTAGCAGCTATAGGTCGGGTAAGAAGTCGATTTCTAAGGTAAATAGAATTAAGTCATTGTAAAATTTCCCTTGTTGAAACCACTTTTCAGATACTCTTCATGATATCGAATTGAAAGAGTTATATAAATTATACTTAGTCTTCAGTACCTTCAGTCTCACTTTCTGGAAATATCATTTACCAGTTGATTGTTTTAACCTTGATAGTGAATTGCCAACCCTTCAAACATTTGAAAAACTTATACAAGCCTATTGTAAGTGTAATGGTAAGTAGCCACGACTTCTGATTGAAGTTTTGCACTTACAAAAGACTTGAGTTATTTCTGAGGAAGCTTAAAGACCATCCTAACAACTACTGAAATGACCAATTGCGTTCCCCTATTATGTAAGAGATTTCGCTCCAAGCGAAAATTCCGAAATATGATTTGTTTATTTCAATAGTTTACTAATTCCCATTGTAACATCAAGAACAAGATATTCAGCGAACAGACTCTTTTCAACGAATTTATTCTCAAGCTGTACAATCGTATATATATATATATATATATATATATATATATATATATATATATATATATATATATATATATATATATATATATTATTATTATTATTAGTCCCTTGGGTTCCTAGTGGAACATAGGGCTTCAGTAGCACGCCTCCAGTGACCTCTGTTCTCTGAGATCTTTTGAACCTGGTTCCACGACAGCCCAGAAGCTCTCATTTCCTCCTCGCATGACCTCCTCCATGTCACCCTCGGACGTCCAACTCGTCGCTTCCCATGGGGATTCCACTCGAGCAACTGGCCTGACGCGTGATGTCCTCAGTCGGCCTTCTCAGTGCATGGCCAATCCATCTCCACTTCTTCCTGCATATTTGTTGCGTGATAGGTTCTTGGTTGGTTCGTTCCCAGAGTTCCTTGTTGCTTATTTTTCTGGCCATCTGATCTTCAGCAGCGAGCGTAAGCAGTTGTTGATGAATGTCTGTAGTTTATTGGAAATCCCTTTCGTGACGCGCCAAGTCTCTGAGCCATACAAGAGCACTGACTTGACGTTGGTGTTGAAAATCCGTATCTTGTTCCACATGCTGAGTGCAGAAGATCTCCACACTGGTTTCAGGCTAATGAACGCCTGTCTTGCTTTTCCGATTCTGACTTTGACGTCCTCGTCCGTCCCGCCTGTAGTTGAAACAGTGCTTCCTAGATAAGTGAAGGAGGTTACTTCCTTCAAGTTTCTCCCGTTGACGGTGATTGGAGTTTGTTGTTGTTGTTGATGGTGGTGGTGCGGTATCTTCATCACTTCTGTCTTCTCTATATTCACCTGAAGTCCCGTCTTAGCTGCCTCTTCTGTCAACTTGTTAGTTTTTGCCTGCAGATCTTCAAGTTTATGTGACATTAGGCATAAGTCATCGGCGAAATCCAAGTCTTCTAGGTTCTTTTCCGTCGTCCAGTGTATCCCCCTCTTCTCGCTGCCTACTGTTTGCTGCATGATCCAGTCCACCACAATAAGGAATATCATGGGGGATAGTAGGCAACCTTGTTTCACTCCTGTCTTCACTTCAAAGGCATCACTGAGCTTCCCATTGTGGATTACTTGGCATGTGGCATCTTCATATAGTTGTTGAATGAGGCGGATAAAGGTTTGCGGTACTCCGTAGTATTGAAGCAGTTTCCAAATTACTTCTCGGTCGACGCTGTCAAAGGCCTTCTCAAAGTCGATGAAGTTGAGGTAGAGAGCTGATTGCCATTCTATGCTCTGTTCTATGATGATACGAAGCGTTGCAATTTGGTCAGCACATGATTTGTACTTCCTGAAGCCTGCCTGTTCCGGTCGCAGTTTTGAATCCAGTGCGTCTTTAAGCCTCTCCAGGATGATGCGGCTTAATATTTTACTTGCTTTGGGTGGACAGGAGAGTGATTCCGCGCCAGTTCTTGCAAGCACTGAGGTCTCCCTTCTTCGGCAGTTTGACAAGGTAACCCTTCTTCCAATCGGCAGGTACCTTCTCTTCCTCCACACCTTCTGCAATAGTGGTGTGAGCATGTCCGCTGTTGTCTCTGCATCTGTTCTCAGTGCTTCTGGCGGTATTCCATCTGGTCCTGCTGCTTTCCCGCATTTCAGTAGCTTTATGGCGTTCAGGACTTCCATTTTCGTTGGGGGATTAATGTTCACTTGTAATTCAGCGGCTGCAGGTGGTATTTCTGGACGAAGTGCAGGTGGTGGTCGATTCAAGAGCTTCTTGAAGTGGTCGGCCCATCGTTTCCTCTGTTTCTCTTCTTTTGTAATTAAATTTCCTTCTTCATCTTTTATTGGTTTCATCTGTGTTGGTCTCTTCCCTGATAGCAACCTGGTTATTTGATACAATGTCGTCAGGTCTCTCTTACCTGCAGCCTGTTCTGCTTCACTTGCCAGTGTTCGTAGAAGTGTCTTTTGTCTTTGCGTGCACTCTTCTTCACTTCTTTATCCAGTGTTTTATACATTGTGCTCAGTTCCTCTTGTCGTTGAGCATCCTTGCACTGGTTTATCTTCTGCTTCACCATCCTCCTCTCCTCTATCAGCTTCCAGGTATCCGTCGAGATCCATTCCTTGTCTTCTTTCTTCTTCCTTCCTAATACTGTTGTGCAGGTTTCTTTCCACATAGCTTTCAAAGACTTCCAGTGTTCTTCCACACAGGTTTCTTCAGGGATGTTGCTCGATGTCTCCCATTTTGTCTTGATGGCTGCCTTGAAGATCTCCTTTGTAGTTTCATCCTTCAGTTTCCGAGTGTTGTACTTGAATTGAGGTCTATCACCAGCTTCCTTGAAGGCTTTTAACTTGATTTGGAAGGTTCCTTGCACTAGACAGTGAGTGGTCTGAACCTACATCTGCTCCTCTTCTTGACCTTGTGTTAAGTAGACTGCGTCTCCATTTTCTTGAGATTGAGATAAAGTCGATTTGATTTTTAGTGTGTCCATCTGGTGAAATCCATGTCGCTTTGTGGATATCTTTGTGCCTGAACACACTGCCTCCAATCACCAAATCGTTGAATGCACAGAATTCTGCAAACAATTCTCCATTCTCATTCATTTCACCTAGCGCCTCTCGACCCATGGTTAGTTCTCTTCCCGTGTTGTCCCCTCCCAGTTTGGCATTCATGTCGCCCATTAGAATTTTGATATCGCCAACTGACGTCTTGTCCAGTGTTGATTGAAGTTGTCTGTAGAATTCCTCCTTTTTCTCTTGCTCTGCATTATTTGTAGGTGCATAACATTGTATGATTGTGACCTTTCTTCCTTTTGAGTTGAATCTTGCTGTCATGATCCTGGAGGAGATTGGTTCCCACTGCATGAGAGCCTTCGATGCTCTTGAGGACATCATGATAGCCACTCCATAACTCAGTGTGCTCGTGGTTGGCGTCTGGGTGACCGGAGTAGATTATTGATTCTCCAGTTGACAGTTTGGAGAGTCCACTTCCATTCCATCTGCTTTCGCAAATCCCAAGCACTTCGATGTTATACCTTCTCATCTCCTTTGCAATCTGGGCTGCCTTACTGGGTTCAAACATCGTGCGGACATTCCATGTCCCCACGTTTACTTTCGCTTTCATCGAGAGAAGACACATCGGCCAATTGGCTTCCCGAAGGCTTTCACCAACTGGCGTCATTTCGCCTCTCCGATTCCAGCGGGGAATAAGTTTGTTTTCATTTTTTATATTTTGTTTGTGCTTTGAAGTTTCTTTAGCGGTTAGATTTGTTTTACGGGGTAGGGTTGCTAGCCCTATGCCCAACCTTCCCTCTTTACCCGGGCTTAGGACCGGCTAGTAACTAGTAAACTAGTTAACCAGGCGAGGTTAATATATATATATATATATATATATATATATATATATATATATATATAAAGGAACAAAGGAAACCTTTGTTCCTCCAACTGATGTCAGTCTTCGATGAATAACAACTTGAAATATTTCCAAATCTCCACAACCCCCTCAAAAATTTAATAGGCATTTGTGATTATAATAACAATTGAAGTACGAATGATAACAAATAGATTATGTAATATATGGAATGGTACATAGAGAGTATATAACTCAGAAGGGGGTGGAAAAATTGTTGAAAATGGTAAGTCAATTAAGTATTATGTAATGGCATTAGACAAATTGGATAAGATGAAGTCAATGTTTTCTAAAAGGATTAAGACAATTAAGTGAAACAACACCGGAAACTAGTTAAAGTGAAGGCGATTATAATAACAATAATCGTGATAAAGGAAGGATACAAAGGTTAAATTAACAAAGTGGGAGGGGGAGCTAATGGGGTAGGGAAATGTTATGGCCATGATAAAGACAGTGACTGCACATACTTCTTTTGTACACACAGATCAGGTCTTAGTTCATGAATAGCTAAAGCCTCCGGTGTTTTAAGGAGTTGAAAACGAAGAGAACGTGGGAGGTTTGGGCGAATTTGATAAATAATTTCAAAGTCATCGTCTGAATTTGTTGTGTGATGGAAGTCAATCAAATGTTCTAGAATCGAACTTCTAACAGACTTTCTTTCACCTTTATAAAACCAAGCAGGAAAATGTTCTCGTATACGTGTAGAAAGCATTCTGTGGCTACAGCCGATGTACCTTGCTCCACAAGAGCAGGTGAACTGGTAGATGCACATAGAGGCGGCCAAATGAGGAAGCTTGTCTTTAACGCAGGCGGAGAATAGGTTGCGGCTGGTAAAAGTCAACTGAAGTCTTGCTGTGAAGAAAGTCCTATTGATTGATCTGCTAAGACGATTCTTCAGTACATCCGATGCTAGGTCTCCTTTAAACTCTAGGCTCATAAACAATCTTTTCTTTAAGACCGAGTGGATGACCGGTTTAGTGTTTCTTTCACAAATGTCTGTCATCATCCGCTCTATTATTATTGTCATCATCATATAGTGTTTAGTTTTCTTCACAGGATATAATTTTTTCCAAATATCATACATATACGATTGTACAGCTTGAGAATAAATTCGTTGAAAAGAGTCTCTTCGCTGAATATCTTATTTCAATAGTTACCAGCGTGACTTTCAAAGTCATTCGTTATTGTTTTACCTACAGTATGGAATTTCTTATTAGTTTCAATGATATTTCAGAGAGAGGAATATCTGAATATATATATATATATATATATAACGGAAATGTTATTCTCAATTAAAAAATTTTTTTTTCTCACTCTTCAGATCGTATGGACAATCTTATTTCACCTTCAGCAAGTTTAGTTACTGGTCGAATAGTTCATTTTGCTGGGACAAATTGCTTTGAATTATATCAAAAATTGGCCTGTTGAACTGATATAATTCTTGGATATAATAACAGAATATTATTTATGTACTTTAATAATCAATAAATTCTGTGTATATCTCATATGTGTTTACACGTATGACCCAATGTACAAATATCCTGTTTTTATGTTAGAAATCAATTGTTTAACTTTTTCACTTCTCTATTAAAGATTTTCTAATGTATCTTAAGATAAATGTAAATAATAATTCCAGGAATCTATGATTTCATATACTTCTTTATAGCTTTTGGGAAGTGTTAGTGAACGTTTAAAAATTACTGTCTTTAATTGCCCACTTGCTTGTGTTCATGCACTGACTGAGCAATGAGATACGTATTGTATGATGGATATTGATGCTACCGAGTTAACTTCTGAATTCTTTTTAGATGGGGAGAGACATTGGAATCCATGAATCTCTGGTTGACAGTAATCTTTCTATACCAATTAGTCGGAGTTCAATACAAACAGATTTCTAACCAACTCATCAGTAATCTTTTGAACTCAATGTTATCTATGCCTATTAATAAAGCTGAGACAGATGGTGATGTTGTTAGGTTGATAATCATGGTTTGTTCACTTCTCCAGCCTGATTAGTATTCTTTAGATATATCTACTCTCTGAAGAGTAAATTGAAATGAGGCAGTAAACGCTAATTGCAATCATCCGTGTTATACTTCCATCTCAACAAGGTTTTTGTTTCAATCAATTAGTCTGAACTGTTAGGTAATAAAGCATCGAAAAATTCTCTTTCTAAGACAATAGTCTTTCAAATCGATTTAATGTGAAATTAAACACTTTCATGGCTATCATATTACTGAAGGATACAACCAATATAGTCAAACCTGATTCCCAGCCTTACCAGAAAAGTTTCCTCAGGTTTCGACTTTGCATATATCTGCTTTTCTCGAGGTTTACTAGTGTAGTTTCACACAACGCATGCTTAACAAGTTACAGATATTCGAACCTTTTGGTAACAAAAGTGTTATATCTCTTTCTGATGATGAAACAAAGAAACGGAACAAAAGCTTGGTATTGAACAGAAGATGTACCCAGACACTTTATAAAACCGTTGGCGGAATTTCTTCACAACTGAACATATTGATTGTAAGTTTTAAAATTTATCAGGTGAGTTTCTGACCACTTTACATACAACAAGTTCGCTCAAATTCGATATTTTATCGAAACAAACACCAACATAGTTGAGTTAGTAACTGAAGATTGGCACGAAGACTATTTATCATAATCTTAACAGTCTTTTCAGAAGTAACTGTATCGATTCAGGGTCGAATTTTCCACAAGATGACAGTAATGCCAAATGGAGTGTTCACTAGTGTCGACGGGTTTTCGTAGCTACATAATTTGATATTAAGCAACTCAATATTAATCTGCTATCATAAATTGATATATGACTAAAACGCGGAAAGTATTTAGTAGCTAGATTTCTTGTAGTTTTAATATGCACTCTGGGAGTTACCATGTTCATTATACAGATTCCATAGTGGTCCTTTGAACCGATCATTTTTCCAAACTGAAACATTCAAAATACATTACGAAATCATTATGTGTTTTCACCACTAACTTTGCTAACGTGTGGTATACAGAGGACACTGCCCTCCAGACTGACGGTCATGGACTGACATCAGTTGGAGGAACATTGGAAACCTGGGAGCACTGGACAGCTGTCTCTCCCTACTAGTATGAGAATCCTCGGCAGTCCGCACCCACGACCCCGCCATGTAGGGATCAGACCTAGGACCTTCAGGTTCCATGGTTCATCACGTTATCATTGGACCAATGGTCCTTATTCCCAACTTCCGTCAGTTCATGACGTGTTGGGTTTTTGTTGTCACAGCCACAAGGTTTGCCCCACTACCCATGATTTCTCATCCGAACTTCAGGAATCACTTCACGAAGCCAGTCACCAAAGGGCATTAGGTCGTGAGCCGACAGAAGTTGGAAATATGAACTGAGTTGGCTCAGTAGTAACGTGCTGGTCACGGAGCCTGAAGGCATTGGGTTTGACCCTCGGTGCGGTGGGTGGGGACTGCTGAGAAGTCCCATACCATTGGGACGAAACAGCTGTCCAGTGCTTCTAGGTTCCCAATGTTCTTCTAGCTGATGTCAGTCCGTGATGAATATCGACTGGAAAAATCACTAAAACCCCAAAACTAAATTCTGTTTCAGTTAGAATGCTCTTTTCTTGGTTCTGTAGTAAGATCTAGTAGGATTAGTTGTCCTGCTCAGTGAGCCTAGCATCAAGAACCATGTATCAGAAAATACTGCTTTCGTAACATAGATCTGTGTTGCATTGTAGCTGGAATTTGTATTCATTAGAACTATAATTTTGAAACCCACGCAGGAAAAACAAAACAATTCGTATATTCACACAATACAGCAAACCCTAACGGCTTCATCAAGGTAAATCATACAAAATAAGGTACCTGGATTTACGAATGACTCAACAGATGACCTCAACAACTACTAAAGTAATCAATTAGAGTTCTGTATTCCATGAAAAAGCTACCTTTGCAGTAGAAATAAAGGAACTTAGTTGGTCGTTTCAAGCGTTACTGATGTTAGTACTGTCAAATGTGTTGGGACAACAAGCTGGAGTACGGAACAACAAATGAAAAGAAATCTTGTTGTTCGTTTACATTTCTACTAGCTCCAATTGCCCAAAAACGAAAATGTGTATCAACCACTTGAAACCAACCCTATCCAAAAGTTTAACAACCAGACCAATAAAACCCTGAACAAATGCTTCAAAGCAGAAGAAACAACAAAGCTAGACAAATGGCATGTGAAATCGAATGAACTTGTCCTTCCTCGGCTCTACAGCAGACCAAAAATACACAAACCCGATATTCTTCTACGACCAATGGTCACTTCCGGGAACTCCATCACACAACATATCAAGAGAACTTTCGAGAAAACTGAAACACCTCATCCAATCATGCTGACATTCCATCAAATCACCAACGGAATTCCTAGAGAAGATCAAAAGCATTAACATAGAAAACGACGAACTAATGGTATCCTTCGATGCCACAGCACTACATAGATGAAAGGAACTCCAATGGGATCAACGATATCCGGATTAATTACAGAAGCAGTGATGCAGAGACTGGAAGCCATTATTCTACCTGTGATCAAAACAAAAATTTGGATTCGCTATGTGGACGACACTTTTGTCATCAGTAAAAAAACACGATGATATAGAAAACACCCACAGTTTGATCAACAACGTTTTCAATGACATCAAATTCACAGTGCAGAAAGTGTCCAACAATTAACTACCATTCCTGGATATTTTAGGCAGTAGGATAAATGTCGGAAAGCTGGATATCCAAGTGTACAGAAAGCCAACACACACTGACCAAATCCTCAACTACAATAGCAACAACCCAACGACACTCAAAATCAGTTGCATGCAGACTCTATTCAGAAGAGCGAGAACACACTGCAGTACAACAACTTCACAGGGAAACGAAGAAAACTACCCGATGTTCACCCTAAAGAAGAACGGCTACCCATGAAACTTTATCAGAAGATGCCTATCCCGTACAATATGAACTATAAAGTCATCGACAGAAATCAATGAACGCATCATCCCGCCACACATAAAGAATATATCAGAAATCATGACAAGATTACTTAGACCACCTTGTGAAATTGGTATGACTCATTAAACAACAAATTCCCTCCAAACCCTACCCTATTGTGCAGACCAAAAGATGCACTAGCCAAAGAAGACAAACCAAATATCATTTACAAAATCAACTGCAATAACTGTAGTCAACACTACATTGGACAAAGTGGTTGCCCTCTTCACCTTCGTCTACATCAACACCAATGAGCTATTAAACGTCACAGATGACACTTCATAACTCATTTCAATGCAGTTGGATAAGAACTGTGGACATGAATCGAATTTCGACAATGTAGACATTTTGGATGGAGAGAGGAAACACAAGGAATATCAGAGAATTTCTAGAAGCTTAGCATCGAGGGCTCAGTCGGCATTCAGTAGATATGTAGACACAGAGCCAATGTATCAACCAATGAGAAAAATGGTAAGCAACAAAAGGGTCAGAGGTGAAGAAGAGGAACAGCCAATAGAAAAATCTATACAATCAGTGACACAATAATAGAAGGAAACAACCAATCACAGACCACATTGTCAGAACAAGCCACTAAATCACTCATGGAATAATATTAAGTTACCAAGTCATGATGTTATATGGTTAATGGGAGTGGTGATAATAATAAGAAATTAGAATAGAAGAATATAATGCATGAAAGATGCAATATGGTAATTAACAGTTGGAAGAAAAGAGTTCGAGAAAGAAATTTTTTTACAGGTCATTTTCACAGCAACTTGAATGACTATGAAACTCCTTTTGATTGTAGAGTTCAGACTTCAAAATATTAATTACCATGTTTTGCATAGTTCGAAGATGTTTCAGGAGTACACCTTTCCTGAGGCTTTCATGAGCTTTCTATATGCCATAGAAGTTTTTCTCTGCATTTACCAAGTGGTCATAATCGATTAAATGTACTAACGTGGAGCTGCGAGGTTCTATCTTTTCACCTTTGTGGAATCAAGATGGTATATGTTTGGAAAGAGAACGTTTAGTACGGTCAATATACTTTACTTCATATGAATCGATAAGCAATATCGAGCTGGTTAAGTCGGCTAGCTTATCCTTTACGTATAAGTGAAGCACTGAGAAATTAGAAATACATTGAATATTCCCATTTAGACATTTAGAAAAAGACTGATTGAGCGTAGAAATATATTCCTTTTCAATTAGGTCTTCATCTTGGGCTCTACACTAATATATTGGTTTACAATTTAATCAAATTACCAATCACCTGGTGGTGTTTCGGAAATAACAATGTGAATAATCAATAGGGTTACTAAAATAGGAAATATGAATATTGATAGAAAGAAGAAGGGGAAGAGGTGCACAAAATAAACCTAGAAGTTACATCATGTTTATGGC